GCCGCCTGCGCCCGGGAGAAGCCTGGCGCGGGGACGCCCGGCCGAGCCCTCGCCTGCCCGCTCGCTGGTGCCCGCCCGGGCGCCTTCCCGGCGCCGCCCGCTCGAAGTCCGCGCTGCTGCCGCGCCTGGACGCGGGGACTCCCGGGAGCCGCCTCGCGGCTCGCCTCCCGCACCTCGGCTCTGGCCGCGGCGTCTGCCCCGGGCTCCCTGCAGGCGCAGGCGGGCGCGGAGCCCTCACGTTGGGCTTCGTGTCCCCCAGACCCTGGCAGCTGCGCCCCAAGTGCCACCCGCCCGCTGCTGGGGTCCCCGCCCTTGGGGCTCCCCGCCCTGGGGCACCCCGTGCTGCTGATGTGGTGCCTGGGCTGGGCTGGTCGGTGCTCAGCAGGGTTTTCCCCAGTTTCTGAAGAGGACGTCCCGGGACTCCCTTGGGTCAGGCGCTGCCCCCCGACCCCGTGTTTGAGGTCCACGTTTCATGGTCGCGGTCATGCGTGTGGCGGGGGGGGGGGGGGGGGGGGGGGGACACGGCCACCCCCACCTCCCCCAGGCAGGGCTCAGAGCGAGAGCTCTGCGGACGCTGGCCTCCTTGGAGTCTCAGCAAGGACAGTGGCTTTAGTGGACTTGCAGGGGATTGAGGGAGGGGGTGTGGCGCCCCCCCCCCATGCCCGAAGTAGTGGCAAGCCAGGCCCGGCCCTCTACCCTCCCGTCCTCCCGGGGCGCAGGGCAGGGAGGAGCTGGCCTGAGCCGCGTAGACAAGGCCAAACCCACCCCGGGCTGTGGGGCTCCGGGTGTGCGTCCTCCCAGCCCACACTCTGTCTCCATCTCTGAGATGCCGGCCTCGGTCCCTGAGGACGGCTGCGCCTGTTCACTGCTCAGCGAGAGCGCTTCTGCTTGTCTGCAGCTTTTTTCACAGGCTTTAGAACATTCTGCTCTAAGTGGAAGCGAGTTGTCCCGAGGCCTCCTGGGGCGGTGCTGACCGCGGCCGGCCCGGTGACTCCACAAGGCCCGTGAGCCGAGGGGAGGCCCGGAGGGGCACGTCCCGACACCTCGCAAACTGTGCCGGCGATTCTCTGAGGCGGAGGGAGGCGTGCGGCCTGCCGTCGGGAGAGGGCCACGGAGGCCACGCCAGAGAAGCCGTGGCCCTGGGAGGCCTCTGAAGGGTGGGGCCGACAGCGGTGCTGGGAATGCCCAAGTTCCTGTTCCGGGGCTCAGGTGCTTGTGTTGGGACGGGCCCAGCGGGCTCACCCCCTACTCTGGCCTGTCAGCTCCGCGTCCCCGGGTTTGGGGCGTCTCTGCTGCAGTATAGAGACAGCTGCACTCCCCAGCTCCCGACTCCTCCCCAGCTGCGGGCATCAGCTTGAGGGGCCCTGCTCCCCACAGGCCGCCTGGTGCCCACCGGGTCTGCCCTCCCTGAGTCTCTGTGTTTGGGGCTCCCGATCTGCCGGATCCTGCCCTGGCGACACCGGCACAGCCCCTTGTGCGGCTGGACCCCAGCCGGTCTGTGCCCGGCTAGCATTTGTGATGGCGGGTGGCAGGGTCAGCGCTCGGTCCCGGGCACCCAGTCCAGAAGTGGGTGCTGGGGACAGCCCCTCTGTTTTCCCGACCAGAAAGCAACCTGCAATGTCAGTTAAAGGGACGATGCACACAGATGCGCCTCGGGGAGCCAGCGCCCCAGAGAAGCACTGGGCAGCCGGCAGCCCTGCTCCCTGGGGAAGCTGCCTTCGGGTGCGGCTGGGTGGGGCTGAGGGCCTGCTGGCTGCCCCTGGCTCATCGTCTCTCCCGCATAGGGTCACAGCAGTTAGATCTTAAGGTGCGTGACCCAGGGTGTGCGTCGCCCCACTTGTGACCAGGCCCCGCCTGCACCACCTGCAGGCTGCTGGGGTACAAGGGTGGGTGTGCAGAGGGCACCAGAACACCAGCCGCGGGGGCGTCAGCCTTCTCTGTTCACAGCCGTGCGTGGCTGGTGATGGTTTTGTGGAACCTCCGAGGCCGGATGGGGTATTTAACCTCGGAATTAAATAGTGGGGTCCGGACAGTATATTAACCCTTGCTAACAGCAGCCGTTTGGAAAAAAGGATGCAGGTGAATGCAAGTCTTTATCTCACGCCAGCCTCCGAGCACCGCGGGAGGCGGGCCCTGCAGGGCCCGCACGGCCTGGGCCTGGGCAGGCTTGGCTGCCGCTGCGTTGACTTTCTGTGATTTGGGGTGCCTGCCTTTCATCGCGGTGGCGCCTTATGCTGTGAGCATAGCGGTGGCTGGAAAGCACAGTCGGCACTGGCCTCGGCTCCTCCGGAGGGTCCGGCGCTCTTCCGTGGGCTGCGCCTGCCTCTGCTGGCTGTGGGTTGGCTGTGCCTGTGGGCCCGCGGGCTCCTGCACGCCGCTGGGGGATTGGCGCGTAGCCCGGCCCTGGGTGAACGTGAGCGTCAGTGGAGAAGTGAAAGCCCCTGTGCGCGGCCCGCGCGCGTGCCTGGCCGCCGTGCGCTCCGAGGAGCTTCCAGGAGAGCAGCCCTTGGCGCACGCGGGTGACTCGCAGCGTTTGGGTTTTCTCCCCGCGCTGATGACGCTGAAACGGCCCCGCGCGATGGCTGGACCCCCAGCTGGTCTTCCCCTGGAAGCCCCCCGCCAGGGCCGTTGACGCATCCGTCTCAGCAGATTCGGGGCCGGCCCACGCGACATTCTCTGGGCCCCGGGGTGTCGTGTGCGCAGCCCCCAGGGGCCGCCCTGCGCCCTCCCCTCCTTCCCACTCCTCAGCAGCCTCCTGTCAGCTGCTCTCGACGTGGCTTTTGCGTGGGTCTTCGGCGTTGCGGTGTTAGAGGGCGTTTGGTACTTTTCACTGACACGTTGATGACCTCGGAGTCCCCCTGACTCTCGCGGCAGCGTCCGGGCTGTCAGCAAATGCTGTTTTCCAAAACACGCCTCAGTTCCACCACCGCTCCCCGGCCCAAGCCCCCTGCGTCCCCCCGGCCTGCTCCAGCCGCCTTCTGCTGGCCCTGGCTTCTGCCCCGGGCTGGCAGAGAGGATGCCCTGCCGGCTGAGGCCAGCCCTCCCGTGCCTGACCCGGGTCAACCGCTCAGGTGACCGCCAGAGACTTCGTGGGCCTTGGCGCCCAGACCTACATCCTCTGGCCCCCGGCCGTGGCTTCCTGGCTGCTCCCGGGACCCCTGCGGCCTCCCCCGACCCAGGCTCTGCAGGGCTGAGTCAGGAGAGCAGTTTGAAATTTGCTTCCGAATCACCCCAAGGGGAAACTGTCCTCCCAACTCTGCCCTGGACACTGGGCTCTCCTGGCCTCTCGTTGCTGGACGAGGTTCAGCTTGAGACTCGCCCACCTGGCGAGGGGCCCCTGGGGTTTTCCAAGCAGCCCTGTGAGGCGCTCACCCAACCCGCGGGCGGTCCGTGAGGTCTGCGCGCTTCTGGAGTCGAGTGGCCTCACCTCTCCATGTCCAGCCTCGCGGTCGGGTCCTTCTCGGCAGCTCCTGGGCCCATGACTCGCTGCTCCCGCCGGCGCACTCTGCTGCGCTGGCCGCGGCCTGCGGAGCCTCTGCTGGAGTTGTGTCCGCTGTGGTCCTGAGTCTGGTGCTGCCTGCCGCGCTCTTTGGGGATGCACCCACGCCCCACCTCCTGTCGTGCGTTTCTGCTGCTAGAGCTGCTGCCCCCCGTGTCCGGAGCGTGCAGGCGGGTCGGGACAGGCCCTTCGCCCGTCACAGGGACGCTCCGTGTCGAGCGGTGAGTCCCCGCCTGACCCTCCGCACCCCTTCCCGCACAGCGGGGGCGCCCGTCTGCGCACGTTAGCCCTTGGAGTGTCTTCTCCAGTGAGATGTCTGCTCAGCTCCTCGGCCCGTCTGTCAGCGGGGCCGCTGTTGCGTCCAGGCGCGCGGCGCTTCCGTAGGCGAGCCCCGTCCGGTGGGCGGTCCGCAGGCGTTCTCCTGGGCTGCGCTTGTCTTGGCGCCTCCTCGGGAGCTGTCCCGAGGCCCCGGGCCGTGCGCCAGCATGTCGTGCGCGTGGAGGTGCCCCCGAGCTGACGGTCGCCGCCACTCTGTGCGTTTCCACGGAGGATCGGGGGCGGCACCCCTGTTTCTGCGGGTCCGGCTGCGCTGGTTCGTGGGGCTGCTGTAACACGATCAGATTCCGGGTGACTCAGGACAGAAGCCAGCTTTCTGGGCCTGGAGACAGGACGCCGAAAGCCGAGATGTCCGCAGGGCCGCCTTCCCGCCTGAGGCTCGGGGGGCACCAGCCTGGAGGCCCCGGCCCGTGGGCGCCTGCGGCGGCTGGACACGCTCCCCGGAAGCCCTGCGCCAAGCTGACCCCGGAGACTCTTTGTCCAAACCGCATCTCGCCGACGTGTGGGTTCCGGGGTCGGGGCCCGGTCGGGTGTCTGGGCGCCCTTGCCTGTAGGATCTGCGTGGGCGCCCGGGCGCCCCTCCCCAGGGCCCTGGCCGTGCGGCTGCCGCTGTTCCGGCCGCGCCTGTCCACGGGGACGGGCCCGCGTCCCGGCCGGGGGGTTTCTTGGCATCTGGGCTCGGGCCGTCGGTGTCGATACGGGGGCGGCCTCTCAGGAGAAGGCCCTTTCCTGCGGTCGCTCTCCGTCGTCACGGGGTTTTTCCCCAGGAAAGCGAGTGGTGTTATCTGGCTTCCTGCTGGTGTGGTCCGTGGGGTTTTTCACGCCTGGATAGCATTTGAGGGCCTGGCTTGCAAGATCAGAAAAACGTGAGCAACTTACGAAGGCGCCGGTAACAGGGCCCCCTTGGTTGCCTCAGGACCTGGTGCGTGCCTGGGGATGTTTCTTTTTCTCATGGATTTGTTTAGTCATTGTACAAATTTTAGAGTTGACGTTTTTTGCTGGCGCCTTGGAACTCACAAGCCGCGTGGGGGTGATTCTGAGTCCGCGGCTCCCCACCCGCCGGCACGTAGCCGGTCGGTTCACTGGGTTTGCAGTGGCGACGTGGGTGTGGGGGGGCGGGCGGGGTCACTGGACACGAAGACCTGGGGCCCCTCGCGTTCGGCTCCCACAGCTTTGCCAAGGGGCCGGGGAGCCACGCCCCATCTGCCCCCAGGGAAGAGCTTGTCCCTCAAGTTCCCCTCAGAAAGCTTGGGCCTTAGCCTGAGCATCGAGGGAGCGTTGCTTCCTTGGGTCAGCGGCTGCGGCCCTGGACGTCGTCAGCATATTCCTGCCCCCCGGAAACGACAACGCGTTCCAAGAGCCGGCCCAGGATGCAGCATCCGGCTGGGGAACCTGTCCTCGGCCCAGGGCGGTGTGAAGGCTCTCCTGCCCTGGCCCTCCGCCCCCGCCCCGGTGAGCAGGGTCCTCCAGGACAGCCCTGAAGGCATCACGAGGAGCTCCAGGGGCCACGCTTGTCTGTGGCTGTTAGTGCCAAGGTGGCGCAGCCTCGCTGGGCGCGTCTGCGCCCTGTGCAGGCCTGACGGGACACCTGCACAGCCGGACCCCGACACGACCACAGGCCTCCTGGGTGCCTGTAACCCTGCGTTCTTTTTTTTTTTTTTTTTTTTTAAAGATTTATTTATTCATACAAGCACTGGGTACAGTCAGAAGCGCGGGAGGGTGAGAGAATTCACCAGAGTCAGAGCGGGGAGCAGAGCAGGCAGAAGGACCGAAGGACACTGCTGAGGGGAGCAGCGGGCGGCAGGAGAGGTCTGCGCGCCATGTGGGACCCTCCTCCGGTGGCCGGGGAGCAGCCGGGGATCGAACTGGCGCTGCAGAGGCTGCGGGCAGCCTCGTAACCCAGCGCTCAACCGCTGCTCCCCCCGGGAGGCCCTGGTGCAGGCTTTCTTGAGACGCTTGCTGTGGTTATTTTGCTGACTGGCAGCCTGCACAGAAATCAATTCCAAACTTGCCTGGAGCCGCCTGAAAATGCATAACCGTGTTTCTCTTCGTTCCCGTTGCAGGTGCTGGAGATCAGAACTTGTTCACGTCTATCTACCCGACACTGTCTCAGCAGCTCCCGCGCGAGCCCATGGAGTGGAGGAGGTAGGTCCTGGCTGGGCCTGCGTGGGGCGGCACCGCTGCTGGGGAGCTTGGCGCACGTCTCCTGTGGGTCTTGCTCCAGGAGCGGTTGGTCGATGTTCCTAGCAGGACAGCTCACCATGAGTGGTGCCCGCTCTTGGCGCTCGTCAGCGCGCCCCGGCCAGGCTCTGCGCAGAGACGTGGGTTCTCAGACGCTCAGCCGGCCTGCGCCCCCGCCCGTGGCCTGTGTGCCTTTCGGGAGGGGCGTTGGGACGAGGACGCCCACAGCGAGCGGAGGCGGCTGGCCCGCCCTGTGTGCACCTGTGCTGTTGGGGGGGGGGTGTTGACTTTGAGTCTCCGCGGGGGAGACTTGGTTGTACTCCGACTCTCCCCGAGATGTACAGACACGCCCTGTGGCTGCTGCCGTGACCTGGTCCTTCCGGGCCGGCTGTGGCTTTGCATGTACCCAAGGGCGAGCGCAGCTCGGGCAGAGGCCCAGGCCCCTGCTCACGTGGCCCATGTTTCGCTCCTGCTTCCAGGGCTGCGGGGGTGGCCTTCCTTGCTGACAAGTGAAAGAGGGCGCAGAATTCTTTCACAAAAAATGGCTCCAAAAGAAAGATAGGAAGAAAAGCTGCCCGGTGTGTGGGGGGGGGCCCGTGCTGCGGCGGGGAGCTCGGTGGGCACAGGGCCGTCGCCAGAAGCGATGGTGAGATTTGGGAAGGATTTCCGCTGGGCGCGCCGCCTCTGCGCAGTCTGAAAAATAGACAAAAACCAGTGTGTCCACAAACAAGGGGACGGGCTGTGCGGGGAGAGGCAGCGAGGCAGGCACGTGTCACGCCTGTCTTTCTCTCCGGTTCTTGAAACCTCGCGAAATGAGAAGAAAAGACCGAAGGGGGCAGGTGCAGGGGGCGGAGCAGGCCAGCAGGGGCGCGTCGGCGCCTTTCTGGGAGAAGGGAGAGCTGGAGGGCTGGGGAGGAAGCCGGCCCCGGTGTGTAGACTGGCGCCCAACCTGGGCTCTGAGGAGAGGCGAGGCCTGGTGGGAAAGGGTCGGCACAGGCAAGGGCGCCCACTGCGAGGGGGTGTGAGAGTCACTCTCGCCCAGCCTGCAGGCCTGGGGAGGCGCGCGAGCGGGTGGGGGCTGTTCCAGTGCCCACAGATGGGCTGAACAGGCGGCAGCTCGGAGCCCTCCACGCCCCCTGGGCCGGAGGGCACTGGCCTGCACTGGGGAGACCGCCACGTTCCCATTCTCGGAAGACACGCGCCCCGCCTCGTCAAGTGTCAGGTGTGGGGAGCCTTCCTGATGGCGGCGGAGGGCAGCCTTTGAGGGGTGCCGGGGAGGAGCTGGCGGCTGCCTGTGTGCTGGGTGGTGGCACAGGGCTGTCGCCAGGGGTGGTGCTGCCCACCTGGGGCGGGCGCCTTACATGTGAAGGAAGGGAGACCGGGCGGCTTCAGTTCTAGAAGCAGCGAAACCGCACAGACGCCCTGGTGCCCTGGAGCTGCGCGGGGACAAAGGCCTCTGGCCCATGTTGGGGAGCTTCACAGACAAGCTGCTCTCGCGCTGTGCCGGCGCGTCTGGGGGCACGGCTCTGCTCCCCCGGGCCAGCCTGCTGGAGGAGTGTCCCCCCGCCAGCGCCGTGCAGGCCTGGGTCCGCGCTCGCCCCAGGCTGGTGTCCGCCAGGCTCACGGGTGCGCCCTCCTGCCTGCCCCCCGTCCCGCAGCGCCTCCCTGACTTCAGAACGTTTCTAGGTCCTACGGCCGTGCGCCCAAGATGATCCACCTGGAGTCTAACTTCGTGCAGTTCAAGGAGGAGCTGCTGCCCAAGGAAGGGAACAAGGCTCTGCTGACCTTCCCCTTCCTCCACATCTACTGGACGGAGTGCTGCGTGAGCACGGGGCTGCGGGGGCACGGGGCTGCGGGGGCACGGGGCTGCGTGAGCACGGGGCTGCGGGGGCACGGGGCTGCGGGGGCACGGGGTGCTGTTGGAGTACCCCAGTTGGGGGACACTTCCTTTGTCTTTGCTGCTCTGCCCATGAAGTGCTTTTCCCTTCAGCCTCTACAGCCGTTGTCTCGAGGCTGACCTCACGCGGCCTGCCCGCGTTTTCTTCACGTTTCTAGTACTTGGGCTTTTTTTTCTGTTTTTTTGGCTGATAGTTGTTACCAAATTCAGGTTGTTTTTGGTCTTTATATCCTTGGGTGTCTTTTCTGCCCCCCATTCTTTCCTGCCATGGGGAATCAGTCCCATCTGTGCTCGGCTGCTCATGGCGCCTTGTGGGGTTCTGTCGGCCTTTTTGTTCTTACAGAAAGTCGACTTTTTGCCAGATCATTTTCCGCAGAGGCTCTTTTGAGTGGTGCTTTTTCTTTTTCTTTTTTTTTTCTTTAAAGATTGATTTATGTATGCATACAAGAGCTGGGGTACGGGCCACAGATGTGGGGGGTGAGAGGATTCCCCAAAGATAGAGCAGGGAGCAGAACAGGCAGATTGACCGAAATCCACTGCTGAGGGGAGCAGCGGGCCAGTCAGGAGAGGTCTGCTGCGCCATGTGGGTTGCTCCCTGACTGGCTGGGGATCAAACTCGTGCTGCAGTGGCTGTGAATTGCTTCATAGTGCAGTGCTTAACACCTTGCGCCACCAGGAGGGCCCAGGTTGTGCTTTTTCTTAATGTAAGCCGAGGATAGCAGTGCTAAAGCGGGGCTGGGGTGGCAGGCGCTGCCTTCTGGAGCTCTCTTGAGTCAGAGCGAGAGGCACGGGGCCAGGTTCGCCTGGTGCGGGGCTCACAGCAGCCAGTGCGCCTGAGCCGGGCCGAGAGCCGCTTGGCTGGGCAAGGGCGCTGGCAGAGGGGCTGGGGCAGTGACCCCAACGGAAGTGCCCGAGGTTTAGACGCCTCATTCTGGGCTGGACCAAGCCTGAGGTCTCGGGCGTCACTGGTGCGCAGGTGCGGGCGTTCCTGCTGGCGTGGCCAGGGCAGGAGGGCGCCGGCGCTGCCCGAGGGGCCGGGCGTGCGGGCTGTGGGGCTGGCGGGATGCCCTGGGCGGGTGACGCGTGGGCTTGCTGGGACAGTGCTCAGGAAGCCTCCGTAGTCCTCGTCCCTGGGGTTGCGTGACATGACCAGAGGCAGCTGGGGTTTTAGATGTGGCTGTGGGGGGCCTCTGCAAGGCCCTGGGCTTCCCATGAGCGCCCTGTCCAGTTGGGACTGCGGCCTGCGGCGTCCCCGGGCGGGTGTCCCGACAGGCTGGGACAGAGGCCTCGGCCCCACAGGAGGAAGTCCCTGCTCAGCAGACGGCCGCCGGTGCAGCTGCTGGGCCACTCCCTCTCAGGCTCCCCGGAGGCCACTGGGCCGCCTTCCCGCAGGGTCTTGAGTCTGGGGGACTCACGCCTGGCCAGGGCCCGTGGGCTCTGTGGCCACTGTCGGCTGTCACGAGGCAGCATCTTGCATCTGGCTGTAAGGCGCTGTTGACGCGCCGTCTCGGGCCGGCTGTTCCAGGACACCGAGGTGTACAAGGCGACGGTGAAGGACGACCTCACCCGGTGGCAGAACGTCCTGAAGGCCCACAGCTCCTCAGACTGGCTGGTCGTGGTGGTGGAGAATGACGCCAAGAGGAAGAACAAGACCAACATCCTTCCCCGGACCTCCATTGTGGACAAAATAAGAAACGACTTTTGTAATAAACAGAGTGACAGGTAAGCGGCCCTCGCGCTCCGCCTGCTGGGTGACGATGCAGACCCCGCACCCGGCATCCGGGTTGCTGCCTCCGGAGTGGGTACCGCAGTGCTGAGGACTGGCCCAATCCTCCGGAGCTCCTGGCCGGCCAGGGGAAAGTGAACAGTGACCCCCTCGGAGGAGACCCCCTTTCTGAACACTGACGGTGTCAGCATGGGGGGAGCGTCGCGGCCCCTGGGTGCTGCAGGGTCCCCGAGTGAGGCTTTGGGCCCCGTGTGCACATTTACCTTGACACCGCCACACACTCCTGAGGACAGACGTGGTCCCAGGGACGGGGACCTCCCCCCGAGCCGGGTCCCCCGCACCCCCCGGCTGTGCTCCTTCTCTCTGGGGGAGGCTCGCCCGGCTCCAGCTGTGGCCGTCCCTGGGGGGCCGGCCTCCTTCAGCCCGGCTCGTTTCTCAGGCGCGTTCCTGCCACAGCGCTCGAGCTCCCCAGGTCCTGGGAGGGGTGGGGGGTGGGGGAGCCAGTCCCCACTCTGCTCCAGTGGGATGTGGCTTCCTGCACACCCGGGTCATCCTCTCTGCGGTCAGCGTGGTACCCGGGCTTACACAGATGGCTCCAGACGCTGCATCCTTGGGGTGGGGGCGCCTGAGAACGCAGCTGCAGGGTCAGGCAGGGCAAGGCGCGAGCCCTAGGTGCACGGTGGAAGTGCCCGCCCCGCTGGCTGTGGCGTGACGCAGCCCGTGCCAGCGCCTGCCCTTAAGTGGCAACTTGCAGGGGCCGAGAGACACGGGACAGTTGTGTGTATGTATGAAGTCAGGGCCGATGGCCTCGGAAGCTGTCACAACAGGCGAGGTCATGTTTGGGGCTTAGTCAGGACCTGACTGGGGCCTGGGCTGTGGGACGCTCACCTCTGGCTCTCCGGAGGGCGCACTGCTGCTCGTGCACCACGTCGGCGCCTCTGTCTGGCCGCCAGTCTGTCTCTGCCGGGCCTGCAAGGCTCCCCGGCCGTTCCCGCTGCTGCTCAGGCACAGAATTGAACTCGCTGACGCTTTTTCAAATTTTGTGGGGCTTTTTTTGTTTAAAGATTTATTTTTACTTTTGCGTACAAGAGCTGGGGTGTAGGCCAGAGGTGCGGGGGTGAGAGGATTCCCCAGAGACAGTGTGGGCAGCAGTGTACTGAGACACACTGCTGAGGGGAGCAGCGGGAGACAGGAGGGGTCTGCTGCGCCCTGTGGGTCGCTCCCTGGCTGGGGATGGAAGTCAGGCCGCAGTGGCTGGCGATAGCTCGATAGCACTGAGACTTTACCCCGTGCCCCAGGAGAGGCCCCCGCTGAGACTAAAGCCCAGGACAGCTCATCTGCAGCAGCCCCTGTGTGCCCTTCGCTGTCTGTTTTTCACTGATTTGCAAAACCGCCTGTAACACCAACTCTGGGGTGGGAAAGCAGGGGGAGTGCTGGCGGGGTGAGAGCTGGCGCAGTGGCGCCTGTTCCCCTGCCGGGTGGCCCTGGGGCACCATGTCAGGAAGTGCACACTGAGTCCTTTCGATTACATGGACCCACGAGGTTTTGGGGCTGCAGGATGAGTGTTGGGGACTGTGACGCGACTCCCTGTCTTCCAGAGAGCGCTGGAGGCAGGGTCTAGGACGCAGCACTTCCGACCCCATCCCCCTTTCTGGTCCTCGTAGCAGCGCGGCCTCCCCTGGTGCGGCATTAAGCAGGTCGCGTGCGGCCTCCTCCAGCCCGGGTTCTGGCCGCCTGCTGTTCTTCATGGCTGGGGCGGAGCCAGGGCACCTCGGAGGCGGGAGCCACCGGGCGGGGGCGCTGTGCGAGGGGAGGGTTTTCCAGAGCCTGTTCCTGTCTTTGCAGGTGTGTCGTGCTCTCCGACCCCTTGAAGGACTCTTCTCGAACTCAGGAATCCTGGAATGCCTTCCTGACCAAACTCAGGACCTTGCTTCTTATGTCTTTTACCAAAAACCTAGGCAAGTTTGAGGATGACATGAGAACCTTGAGGGAGAAGAGGACGGAGCCCGGCTGGAGCTTCTGCGAGTACTTCATGGTCCAGGTGCGTGGCTCCCGGTGCGCTGGCGCCTCCCCGCTCCTTCCTGTGGCAGGCCGCTCTCCCGGGCTCCTTCTTGCCGCGTGGTTGTTAAGGTCGAGAGACAGCTGACGTCTTGTCAGGTCAGAGCCGGCCCCTGGCCGCCGAGTCATCGACGCCTCTGCAGCCTCGAGGGCGGCCTCACTCTCAGAGCAGCCTTGTCTGTGAGTGTCTCGGGACTTCGGGGAGTCTGCCTTGGAAACCGCCCAGGCTCAGGCCACAGTGGGGGCGGCCTGACCGCACAGACGCCCCGGCCACTGGTCTGTGGCCGCCTGCCGGTTCCGGGCACATTTCCTCTGTGCGGCATTTGTGGCCGTGGGCGCCGTCAGATCTTCTAGGCTGGCTTCTGTACTGTGGCTGTGAGATGCTAGGTCTTGGAGTCGTAGCCTGTGCCACCTTTCTCCTCTTTAAGGAGTGGCTTGGCTGAGCGCGGATACGCGAGAGCAGCCCGGGCACGGCCGGACGCAGGGCGGCCTCCCTCGCTCTCACTCAGCACCTTCTGACTAAACAGCCGTGGCTTTCGTATTTCAGCATCAACTCTGTGTCAGCTCCTGAGGCAGTCAGGCTCGCCACACAAAGACCACTTCTGATTAAAAATTTTGATGTTTATCTGTTATTCTAGTGCTTGTAGCTTGGATGAGCTGGCAGTGGCAGGCAGTTCATCAGCTGGTAATCCCTGCCCTGCCTGCTCTGCCCCTTCCGGCTGGGAGCTTAGCTTCTGGGAGCTATAAACAAGGCAAGGGGGAGTCCCGTGAGCCAGTGGTGTTGAATTGGAACTGCAGTATCAGTGTGGACCTGCGGTGGGTGGAGGGGTGACGGGGTGGGGGTGGACAGTGGGTGACGGTGGGCGGGTGGGTTGGCAGCTTATCACACGCATGTTTTTGCTCTGTCTTCTGACAGGAACTAGAAACACAACTTCTTAGTAGCAACGAGCACTTCTGGTGTCAAGATCTTGGCTTCTAACCTCTTTTTTCCTGTAAAAGACCCAGGATCTTTGTAGAAGTGCTTCCCAGGACGGGGGCGGGGGGCGCAGGTGAACCTAGATGGTCTTGCAGAGCCAGAAAGCACGGAGGTGTGCCCACAGAGGTGGCGGGCGGGAGCAGGCGGAAGCGGGCCATAAAATGAAGAGCCACAGCGTTGGGCTTTTCCTCGTGGAGTGAAGCGAGCGGCCGTGAGCCCGCAGAGGGATGCACGCTGGCCACGTCAGCACACGAGGAGAGGTTCGGCCTTTCAGTGCGGGAGGCCCGCAGCCGGTGCCGCGGGTGGAAAGCAGAGAGTCGCTGTTGGCCGTGGCACCGCGTGTGTTCCAGGCACGGTCCTTGTGCTTTAAGGCCGGGCTCGCTGGCGAGCGCTAGGAGGGCCTCACGGAGGACGCTGAGGAGGGAGGGGAAGGAGAGCAGGTAGTAGGCAGGGCGGACCAGGGGCCAAGTCTGGGGCCCCCACTGGAGAGTCGGGGGTCAGCGGAGGACGAGGAGGGAGAGGCCAGCCCTGGACCCCGGGCCGGTGAGGGACGTGCTGAGAGGAAGTGGGTCCTGTCCAGCCCGCACACGAGCGGCGCAGGGTCTCTGGGCCACGCTGGCCTTCTCCGGCCTCTTCCCGCTGCTCCCCATGTACATACTTGCTGGCGTGCTCGTCGTTGGGCCAGCCTGCCCCTGTGGCCTGACCTCGCCACACGCCATGTGTATGTGTGCGTGCATGGGTGTGCGTGCGTGTGTGCGTGCGTGTGCGCGCCGGTGACCCCCCACTGCTGCGGGCCGTCCTGAGGCTGACCGCGCTTGCCCCTGCCCAGGAGGAGCTGGCCTTTGTGTTCGAGATGCTGCAGCAGTTTGAGGACGCGCTGGTGCAGTACGATGAGCTGGACGCCCTGTTCTCCCAGTACGTCGTCAACTTCGGGGCCGGAGGTGAGTGGCAACATCCCGGAAACACCTCTTCCCACCTCCACGTCGTGGGGGCTGCCTCCGAGCTGCCCGGGACTGGCTGCCCGCTGTCCTGCACTGGCTGCCACGGCTCTTCTCACGGCCCCCGCGGGGGACTAAGAGCCCGTCGTTTTCACTTTCTGGGGCATCTCGGGCAACATGGCGTGTGAGGCGTGCTCCAACTGGTGACCACTTGCGGCGCTTCTGGGCCTGTACCTCTCCCGGCGGGGGCACCTGCTGAGAGGCGATCGCCGTGGTGCTGTGTGAGGCTGTGGGTTTCACGGCACTGCTGTCGCGGGTGTTTATCCCTGGAGCCTGGAAACATCTCCTTCCTGTTAGAGTGCAGAATCAGCAGTGCAGTCCTGTGCCCCCAAACAGTCTGTCCCTGGTTTGGAGTGAACTTTGCTTGATGCAAACAGCATCACTCCCTGCAGACGGTCTCTGAAGCCAGTTGTTCTGTCAGTAGCCCGGCGCAGGCGCAGGCACCAGCCGCCGTGCAGCTACACACTGGAGCACGCAGGCTGCACCCACCTCGGCAGTGCTGGCCGCTGCTGCCACTGCGGGCACTGAGAGGAGAGGCTGTCTCGAGTGCAGAGAGCTGGTTGGGCCCTGTGCCCGCTTGCACTGCCGGCTGGTCTCGGCGCCCCTGCTTGGGCCATAGCGGCGTCACTGACTGGGCCCTGCTCCAGGTGTTGACACTCGGGTTTGCTGAGACACAGGGAAACGTGCAACCAAAGCAGAGCGTTGATTAAATAGGAATTTTTAAAAAAGGTTTATTTATTTTTGCATACAAGAGCTGGGGTGCAGGCCAGAGGTGCGGGGGTGAGAGGACTCCCCAGAGACAGTGGGGAGCAGAACAGGCGGATCCACTGAAACACACTGCTGAGGGAGCAGCGGGCAGACGGGAGAGGTCTGCTGCACTGTGGGTCAGCTCCCTGGCCGGGAGCCGCACTCATGCTGCAGAGGCTGTGGACAGCTTCACAGGCTGCGGACAGCCTCTCCCCTGCGCTGCCAGGGAGGCCCCCATAGAGTCCCAAGTTTATTTTTAGGTCACATTTGAGAGGGCGATGAGTTGAGGTTGGGGAGGTGGGTGGGAATGTTTGGCAAGTAGCAAGTTTCCTCCTGGAGCCGGTGTCCTTCCCTCTCGGAGCCGGACTCTGCGACAGACACAGCTGAGGGGAATAAGCATGGAAAGTGCGGGCGCTCAGCCGGCCCACAGCCCGGGCCCAGGACGGCTCCCCGATTCCTGGCCTTCTGGGCGGGTGCAGTGAGTCCGTGGCCTGGGTCACGCTGCCACACGCTCGCCACCGGACGCCCAGTGCCTGCCCCTTGTTCTCTCCGCAGTCCCTGGGCTGCTGCGGGGGAGGGGGCTGCTCTGTCCCAGCAGCTGGGCCTGGGTGAGGGTGGGGCCTGTGGTGGGGCGGGACCTGCTGTGGGGCGGGGTCTGGAGTGGGGTGGGGACAAGGCAGCGATTTTCATGACCCGTGTCTGTCTAGATGGCGCCAACTGGCTGGCGTTTTTCTGCCAGCCAGTCAAGAGCTGGGATGGCCTGATCCTGCGGAAGCCCATCGACATGGAGAAGCGCGCGCTGATCCAGAGGCAAGAGGCCACCCTGCTGGACCTGCGCAGCTACCTGTTCTCCCGCCAGTGCACGCTACTGCTTTTCCTGCAGAGGCCCTGGGAGGTGGCGCAGCGCGCCCTGGAGCTGCTGCACAGCTGCGTGCAGGAACTGAAGCTCTTGGAAGTGAGTCCCAGCTCCCCCATTTCTTGATTGTCTACAGAAAACTCGACCTCAGAACCCCAGACGTCACCTGATGGTGCTTAGAAAGAGTTTCCCCTTTCTGGAAGGCCTGGTCCTTGGTCTGCTGTCGCTTGGTCTGTTGTCTGCGTTCTGCTCGGTGTGGTGGAGCCGTGCTGCCCCAGAGGAAGCCTCTCAGACCCGCTTCTTTTTCTTTTCCTTTAAAGATTGTATTTTTACGTAGAAGAACCGGGGTGCAGGCCAGAGGTGGGGGGTGAGAGGACTCCCCAGAGACAGAGTGGGGAGCAGAACAGGCAGATCCACTGAAATCCACTGCTGAGGGGAGCAGCGGGGAGACAGGAGAGGTCTGCTGCCGTGTGGGTCAGCTCCCTGGCCAGGGATTGAACTCAGGCCACAGTGGCTGCCGATAACTTGATAGTGCTGAGACTTCAACCCCTGCGCCAGCAGGGAAGCCCCTGAGACCCGTTTCTGAACGTGATTTTAAGGCGACTCTGGCTGGTCTTTGGACGCTGTGTCCCACTTCATAGACAGCTCACCTGGTGGACACACGGGTTGGGGTTTGACCATGGGCATTTTATTTCGTATGGACGGTTCTATGCGGGAGCCTCCAGGCAGCAGTGCACACAGCGGCACCTGCTCTGGGTGGGGTCTCAGCAGCCAGGGTGTGCTTGGGAGGCCCGTGGGCACCTACCTTAGCTGGCAGGCCGGGCCCTAGGCTCCTCACTTGCCCTGGCACCCTGGCCATGTGCACCAGGCAGGCGAGGGCCCTCAGAGGTGCTCTGGCACCTGTGACCTCTTTCCCCAGAAAGGTGCACGTGTGCACGTACAAAGCGTCCCAGGGTTTCAGAAGGTGCAGAGCCCATCAGCACAGAGGCCAGATTGCAGGACTTGTCTCCACTTCTCCTTCCCGCCGTGTGGCCACTGTCCTGCCCGAGAGGACGTGCGGCAGAGGAGCTGGCCGAGGGCAAGGCCCTGGTGAAGGCCACGGCACCCAGGCCACTTCCCCATCCTCCTGCCCACGACCCTGCAGCCGTCTGAAGCTGTGGACCCGCCCCGTGACATGCTGTGCCTTCCTGGCCTGGCGAGTGGGTCCGGGAGGCAGCAGGGATGTGGGCCACAGGGCCTCCGTGCTGTCGTGTCTTGTCCCCCATGGCCCCTTCTTGTCAGCATGTACCCAGTGTGGCAGGTGCGGGGAGCAGTATGTGGCGTTGGTCTCAGCTTTGTCCACCCCTTAGCTGCCTCCTGAGCGCCGAGGAAGGCACCACTGGTCCCCCAGAGGTGGTGTCAGAGACACCCAGTGTTCACAGCGCATTGTGAGCGGTTGGGCGACACCAACAACGGCTCTTTGGCCTCTGGGGCTCCTCTCGGGCAACGTCAGGGACAGGACCGAGGCCCCGTCCCTGCAGAGGTCTTCGGCTCCCCTCCCTCCGTGGGGGTGGCTGCTGGACGCTGCTCTTCTTTTCTTCGGAGCCAGGAACAGAGTCTTCCTCTTCTTGCTTCTTCCTCTGGAGACTAGTATTGTGTCTCCTCTTCAGGCGCTGGCATCTCTCCCTCGGCTCCCCTGGTCCTGGCTTACATCCTCTTTCAGGGAGCCCACCCGCACGTCCGATTGCCCCATTTCCCTGTCAGCTCCCGGCTCCCATCTATTGGTCCAGTCCACGATCCAGGAAGTGCGCTTCCCATGACGGCCCGGAGGCGCACCTGCCACGGAGACCTGTGGAGCGGCAGGGAGAGGCCAGCCCTGCTGCTGCTGCTCCCGCCACTTAGCCACCGGGGTCTGCTAACAGAAACCTCCACTTTTTCTGTCCGTTTGCTCTGAAATTAGCCTCTTTGCCGGCGTCCAGATGTGCTTCACGTGGGTGGCGTCCCCATGTCCAGGTCTGTGGCCGGGAGGGTATCGTGCTGAGGGTTATGGCACGTGGGCCGAGGGGGCTTGGGACTCGCCGTGGCTGGGCCGGCGCGTGGCTTCTCTCAGGAGGAGGCGCGGGTGCAGGAGCGTGGCGGGCACGCTGCGCGTTTCCTGTGTGCTGCTGCTGCAGCGGCAGGTGCTCTTTGCTTCCGTGGCTGCCACCGCAGACGTGGTGCCTGTCTGGCTGATGGTCAGTTGATTTTAAGCTCCCTGGTTTAGAGTAGAGACGTGTGGTGTCAGGTGACAGGATAGCCAGCCCCCTGGTGCCCCCTGGGCCGCGCCTCCTGGGCAAGTGCCCCCTCAGGAGAGCAGGGCTCGGAGACGCTCTGCTGCCGACTTGCGTGCGGACAGGGGCTTCCGATGCTGTCCCCCGCCCCCTCGGCATATTCTCTAGAAATCCTGGGGACGTGGACGAGTGTTCCAAGGAAGAGCCGCTGCTTGCGCGACGGCTGAGATTCCCGTTGGGTCAGAGGCCCGCCTGCTGCCTGCCGGGCCCGGTGCCGTCCCCGCGTGAGCAGCGCAGCTCGGAGTCGGGCAGCCTGTGGTCCCTGTCCCGCAGTCACCATGTGTGCCCGAGCAGGGCTGGGGGCAGCGTCTCCGCGGCTGGTGGTCTGTGTTGGCATGCGGCTGCTCCGCGGGCCCCCTTGCGCCCAGCCCCGCTGCCCTGTCTCTTGCATCTTCAGTTTGAAAAAAGCGTGGTGTGAGGATGTGTAACCGTGGCCACGCTGCCGAGCAAGAGCATCCCTAGAAGGTCGTTGCACACGTGATCCAGGCCCGCCCTGCCCAGGCCAGCGCCCTTTCCACTTCCCCTCGCACTGCTGCAGCGGCAGCGGCTGCTCTGTCGACACGCGCCGGGGCAGGCCAGGAGGTGGCGCTGGGGACGTTTCCGCGGATGGAAGAGGCTGGTGGGCGGTCGTAGGCACGCAGGCGCCTGGCGGCTGGGCACCCAGGGGACCGGGAGAGAAGGGCGCTGTGAGCCGGGCTGCGCGGGGGCCTGGCCGCCGGCAGTAGGAAGTGCTTCTCGGCGGTGAGGCTCGGGCGGACGGGCACAGCACCGCCTGTGGCCTCAGCCCCCGCACCTCGTCTCCTCCCCTCTCCTCTCCCTCCTGCCCCTCCCCGGGTGACTCCTTGGCCACCTCCTGATGTCCTGTTTTGCGTGTGAGTCTGCGCGTGTGGTGAAGCAACAGGCGCCCTTTTTACAGACGTGGTCATCCTGCTGCCGCCGCTCGCCCCGGCGCCTGTGGCTCTTCTGAGCTGGTCCGCCCCGGCCTGCTGAGCTGAGCGGCAGCCACTTCGCAGACCGGGATTAAGCGACGCCAGCCGGCCTGGGCTGTTGAAAGTCGAGGTCGCTGGGGAGGGCGGGCCGGTCACGCCCGGGCCAGGCCCCTGCCTTCTGAGTGGGGCTGGTGTGCTTTCGCTCGCCCTCCCTGCCCTTGGACTCTGGCAGGCGCCGCACCCGGGTGGGGGGGGGGCACCTCTGGGGCCTACTAGCCATCCCTGGCCCCTCACGTGCTTGTGCCCCCAGGTCTCTGTCCCACCTGGTGCGCTGGACTGCTGGGTGTTCCTGAGCTGCTTGGAGGTGCTGCAGAGGATAGAAGGGTGCTGCGACCGGGCGCAGCTGGATGCCAACATCGCCCACACCGTGGGCTTGTGGAGCTACGCCACAGAGAAGGTGTGGGTGCCTGTGGGCACACGTGGCCCCTGGCTAGGGCTGGTGGGGATGTCGCATGTCTAGCGACCGCCTGGCACATGCCAGGGCTCGCCCAGCTGTGCTGCGCTCTGGTGAGCTCTAACTGGGGCGGGAGCGGGCGTGGGAAGAGGGTACCGTGAAGCGTGTGAGGTGCTGAGCTGAGTGGCTTCCAGCCGGGGGTCACCGCGTCCTGCATTGCAGCACACCTGCTGGGCGGGCTTTGCGTGTGCGTGCAGTGGAGGCCCTGGTCTAGGAGCCTGCCAGCTGGCGGTGCCACTCCAAGCCGCTTAGCCCTCCAGGGAAGGCGCATCCGAAAGGTCAGAGCGACTCCGTGTTCGCTCCTGAGAGGACGGCGCGGGGGACTTGGCGTCTCTTCCAGAATTTCATTGAATTTTGATTTTTATGTTTAAACTTAGAAGTGCTGTGCTGGCTTATTTATTTTTTTCCAAAGATTCGTGTATTTATACAAGCACTAGGGCATAAGCCAGAGGCGCAGGAAGGTGAGAGGACTCACCAGAGACAGAGCGGGGAGCAGAACAGGCAGATCTGCTGAAATCCACTGCTGAGGGGAGCAGCGGGGAGACAGGAGAGGTCTGCCGCGCCATGTGGGAATCTCCCTGGCTGGCCGGGAATCGAACCGGCACTGTAGAGGCTGCGGACAGCTTCACAGCTTGGCGTTCAACCGCTTGCACCACTGGGGAGAGGCCCGTGCTCTGCTGACTCTTTTTTTTTTTTTTTTTTTTTAAATAGAGGCATGTTTTACATTTGTTTGTTTGTTTGTTTATACAAGCACTGGGTACAGTCAGAAGCGCAGGAGGGCGAGAGAACTCACCAGAGCCAGAGCGGGGAGCAGAGCAGGCAGAAGGACCGAAGGACACTGCTGAGGGGAGCAGCGGGCGGCAGGAGAGGTCTGCGCCCCATGCGGGACCCTCCTCTGGTGGCCGGGGAGCAGGCGGGGATCGAACCGGCGCCGCAGAGGCTGCGGGCAGCTTCGCAACCCAGCGCTCAACCGCTGCGCCACCAGGGAGGCCCGCTCTGCTGACTCTTAACACAGAGTAACTGGAGTTGTGGCTTCCCTCACAGCTCAAGTCTCTGGGCTATCTGTGTGGACTTGTGTCGGAGAAAGGGCCAGACTCGGAGGACCTCAACAGGACGGTGGACCTCTTGGCAGGGCTGGGAGCCGAGAGGCCGGAGACAGGTACTCCACACTGTGTCTGCCGGGGGCCCGGACATGTGGTGGGCAGCATGTGGTGGGCAGCAGTTTGGTCCATTTAGCTGGAGTCCTGATGCTCTAAGTACTTTTATTAGTGAAACACCAATTATTGACTCGCCAACTGAATGTCTAGGATGTTTTATCTTCTAATAACACAAAGAAATGCCAGAAATAGTTTAAAAAGTTGGGAGGATTTTAAAATGAGGGGCTGCTTGCCCCCGGGGGCTCCTGAACACCCCCCCACTCCCCCCTCTCTGGTTCCTGGCGGTGTGGCCAGACCCCACCCCCTCAGCCACGTCTGCTGGTGAAGCACCGTGGGGCGCTCGTGCTCCTCGGGCACCTCAGAGGTGGGCTGAGTGGCACTGCCAGGAGCCTCATGCGGGGTGCAGGCTCTGCGTTGTGCCCTGCCCGCGGGCACCTCAGGCCACTTTGAAAGTGACTTACTGGAGGGTTTGTAATAAGTCCCTTTAAAGATCCTAGTCTCAGTCTGAGATAAAAGCATTAAGTGGGCGGTTAAGACAGTCCTGTCGACCTGTTGATTGGGAAAAGCGTAAGGACGGTCCATCGGCACGGCTGTTTGAGGTGTCCGCTTGGGACTGGACATCATGGGGGAGAACAAGGACTCCTGTTTCTTTTCTTTCAGCCAACACAGCTCAGAGTCCTTACAAGAAACTCAGAGAAGCATTGTCTTCAGTAGAAGCCTTTGAGAAGCACTACTTGGTAAGGGGCGTGCGCACCCGTCCCTGCGGAGCTCCTGGAAGGTCGGGGCCTCCGAGGGCCCTTTGAGTTGGGTGTGCACATGCTGAGGCCTCCTCCTGTTGCCCTTTGACCTCGCACCAGTGCCCTGGGGAGTAGTGGTGATGCGAGGGGTCATAGCTATTTAGCCAGTGTGTCTGTTCTGCCTGGTGGTGAAGCGCTCAGTCGGGAAACGCCTTAGGCGGGAGCAGCACCCCGGCCGCCCCTCCACGCACCCGCTCCTCCAGGATGTTTGTCCTGCCCCCCAGGGGGGAGGGAGGAAGATCAAAAATGCTGCCATTTGGGAAGGAGCTTTGAAAAGCTGAGCTCCTGGGCATTTATTGCCATGCCCGCTGCTCACGCACACACGTGTTCCCGGCTGCGTGTCCCAGCGGTAGGCGCGATGAGGAGGCGCGTGTCTGGCCCTGCTTCAGCCCGGGCAGGCAGACCGGGCCGGCCCGCCTTCGCGTGGACGCACAGTCACGCGCTGTCCCGCTGTCCGCAGGACCTGGCCCACGCCGCCATCGAGATGTACACCAGCGTCGGCAGGGTGCGCTCGTCTCGGCTCGTGGGAAAGGACCTGGCGGAGTTTTACATGTAATGGGTCTTGAACTTGCCTTTGAGTCTTACATGTCTCGTGCCGTGGTAAGAGACGGGGCGGGTGCGGTTAGTAGGAAGCGCGCACAGACCGTGGGGCGCAAAGCGCAGGCTGCCGACCCACCGTTCTTTTCAATTTTCTTCTGAAAATCAAATGGAGAGTTTTTCGGTGGGTCGCCCTCAGTAGCCCTTACTGATCCCGCAGGATCGGCTCGGTTAGGTTAGCGTGAGTCACTGTAACAGGCTGCAGTAAGAGCTGTGCAAAGGAAACATGCACCGGGCGCGCGCGTCGCTGGGCCGCGGCTGCGCTGTGGCGTGGGGCGCTGCGATCCGCTGGACGCGGCGTGAGGGCTTGGGGGCTGCGTCAGTGGCAGGTAAACTGGGACTCAGATTCTTAAATATTTTGTCCTGTCACACCTTCTCGAGTTCACAGCTAGAGTGTGCGCTCCTGTCGAGAAGCGTGGCGTAGCACAGCTGCATGTGTCTGGAGGGGCGAGGGGCGGGCAGACTCCAGAGCAGACCGCACTTCTGGGTGCTGCTGCCGCGGCCTGCGATAGGCGGGGGCCCCACGGCGCGCCCCCCTCAGCACCAGGGGGAGACCTCCGTCGTGGGGGAAGGGGGTTAAGTTTCCTCAAAAGACACCGTTTTGAGATGCAGTCTTCAAGTCTGTCATCGGTAAAGGGAATTTACCGGCTGAAGCGAGAGAGGAGGATTAGGTGGTTGACTCAGGGGCTGGGTCAGACGGTGCCCTCCGGAGGGCGCGCCGTCTCCGGGGCGCGGGCGGTGGGGGGGGGGTCTGCACGTGGCGGCGGCGTGGCCACTAATGAGAGCTCTGTCTGTTGATTTGCAAGGAGGAAAAAGTCTCCACAAAAGGCGGAAGCTCATCTTCAAGGGGCGTTGAAGACGTACCTGGCCGAGGGCTGGGCGCTGCCGATCACGCACACGCGAAAGCAGCTGGCCGAATGCCAGAAACTCCTCGGACAAGCTGAAAAGTATCCTTTAAGGCCCGCGTCTCGTGCAGCAGGGGCATCGCCGTCTGCATGTCCCGGCAGCGCCCACGGCCAAGCGCTCTGACACCTCCGGTTCGGAAGCCCTGCGTGTGCGCGTTCGCGTTCGCTCCTGGTCAGCTCCCAGCTCCCAGCAGCCCTCTGGCTGGCTGGCTGGCGGCTCCACGGGCAGGATCTGCGCTGTGCCGCGCTCCTCGGGGTCAGGCCCTCTCCTGCCCCCTTGACTCTGCACCGCAGCTACCTGCAAACCAGCAGCCTCCTGGCCAGCGACAGCCACTTGCCTGAAGAGGAGCGGAAGCACTTCTGCCAGGAGATACTCGACTTCGCCCGCCGGCAGACGGACGGCCCCGGTAAGACAGAGGGCTCAGGCCTGCCCCTGCGGAAGCTTCCATTATCATAGGCAAGGGAAAAGACTGATGCGCTGTGGAGCGGCCGCCTGGATCTGGTCGCTCGGTGCATGATTTTTATCGCTGACTAAAAGTTCTTTACCCCACGCGCGCAGGGCAGCAACACTTGCAGTGGTCTTTGGGCATATCTGCGTTAAACAGGAAATCTGGCTGACAGACGGCTGTGGCGGTGTCCGCAGCCTTTCTAGGGACGTGCCTGCAGGCTTCAGGCCCAGGCCAGCCTGGGTGCCGAGAGGCCCGGCTGCACCTGCCGCCTCCTCCTTGGTGGCCGTGTCTGCAGCTCCCGATGTTCTTTCCCGCTCTGGCCACGCCCGACCCAGGCCGCAGGCAGCCGGAGCAGCGTGTGCACCCCTTGGCTTTGTCTTTGACCCAGCACCGCTCCCGCGGGCGGGCCCTGCTCGTCTGCCTCCTGGCCGCCCGCCGCCTTTGCCCTCGGGCGCTCGCTCCCTCAGCCCCTGGCCTCTGCCACTGCCGCATCCTTCCCTTGGTGTGCTGCCGTCGCGTCGCTGTGAGAACAGGAGTTGCTTTCTGTGCCATCACTTTCTGAGCCAGCTTGCCAAGGCTGGAGCAGCGCAGCAGCGCCTGGGTTGGCGGCCCCTCTCCCCAAGCCCCTCGGAGGGCTCTGTGGTCCCTGCCCCAGTCTCGGGCTCCGGCCCTCCCTGTCTGTCTTTCCCGGCTGTGGTGTCGCCTCGCTGGAGCCGCGTCCCAGGGCGGGCGCCGCGCTGCCCAGCTGGGGCCTGGGTGTGGCTCCTTTCCTTCTCCTTACCTTTTTCCTTTTGCTAAACTTGAGAGCAATTTCCAGACCACGTGTCGCACCCCCCGAAGCAGCTCAGTCCACACCTTCTGAAAAAGCACCCTGAGGAGCTGGCGAAGATTGCCCCTTGCCTCTAAGCAGTGCGGGTTTAATCTCCACGTTGGCATAGATTCCTGTCAGCAGCATCAAGCAGGCCTCCTGGACAGCGGTTGGTTCTCGGGTCTGGATTCTTTCACTTAGAACAGTTCTTCTCGTCTCTTTCTCTTTTCACACCTTCTGGGATGTGACAGCTTCTGGGACAGACTCGCAGGCCTCACGGTCCTCACGGTGCCCGTCTGCAGGGCGCTGTCCAGCGCCCTCAGCCATCACGGCCCCCGCGGGACATCCCGTCCCTTCAGGCGGAACCCTGAAGGGTTTGCCTGCCGCCTCTGGCCATCACGCGCCTGCTGTCAACACCTGCTCAGGGGCCGTGAAGTGCGGTCCTGCTTGCTGTGCGTTGCCGTGTGTCTCCTCGGGGGAGCCTCTTCAGGAAGGGTGGCTGAAAGGCAGTCAGCTCCAGCTGCCATAGCAAAACCACATCATTCCTCAGCGCTCCGGAGGCCAAAAGTCCGAGACCAAGACCTGGTGGTCTTGTTTCCTGGCGAGGCCTTTCTCCTGGCTTGTCCTTCTGTGGCATGGGGAGAGGCGAGCCAGCGTGAGTGTCCTGTGAGTGGACACGGGTCCTGCCAGGAAGGGGCGCAGGCTCGTGACCACATTAGACTTAGTCTCGGCCCAGCTCAGTCTGCAGGACAGGCTGCTCGACTGCAGGTTCCTGAGGCTCTGGCTGTGGCCGGTGTGGCTGCAGACAGCTGAGTGCACGTCACTCAAGTGGGCCTCGGGGTGGTTCAGGAGCAGCCCGCATTGCGTTGTTGGGTTTTTCTGGCTGCTTTGCCGTGCTGGGTGTGGGCGGAGTCATGTGCCCGTCTGCCGAGTGTGACGTGCGGGCGGGAGCTGTGCCTTGCTGCCGGCGTCCAAGCATCCGTATGGCTGACATCTGCCGCGGCCACGCGCCGTCTCCTTGTGATTTTATCACCTGGTGCTTAATGAATATGTGGGGTCAGTGCTGTTGCCGTGGGGTTTCCTAGACGAAACCGGGCGCCTGTAGAAAGGGAGTCCGAGCCACACTCTCCTCCTCGGTGACCAGGGCTGGCTGCGGGGGCTCCTGTGTGGCTGGCTGGCAGAGGCCGGGGTTCGCATCCGGTCCTCAGGCCTCCACTCCTCTGGCGCGTCGCTCTCCGTGGGTGGGAAAGTGCTGGAATTCCTTGGGCTCGTCACAGGTTTTCCTTAAAATTGAGGGACCAGTTCATTTGTATTTCTCTTAGGTTTGCCAAAACAGAATTTAGACACCCGAATGTCCTCAGAGGGCACGATTTTCAGGGGCCAGCTGCGCACAGGTTGAGAGCTGCTTTGGAGCCTCGCTCTGTGGCGCGTGCAGATGCCGCAGGGTCGGGAGCTCTCAGCCGCCTGTGTCGTGATGACACGTAGCTCCTGCTTTGCGGTGTGTGTGCCTTCTGACTGGTGGGGCCCGGAGTCCGGCGCCGTGTCCCCTGCACCCGGCCTGGCTGGGCGTCAGTGAGATGCCGCTCTCGTTGCAGGCCGCCAACTTGTGCTCCCCATGCACGCCTTCGCCCAGCTGCGGGAGCTGCGCTTCTGCCCGCCCAACGCCGTAGTGCACGCGGGTGGCATGCTGGCCGTGGAGGCCACTGTGTGCAGCCGGCTGCCCAGCCCCATGCTCGTGGAGCAGGTCGCCATCAGCGTCCACTTCAGCATCGAGAAGAACAACTACCGGAAGACGGCCGAGTGGCTCACCAAGCACAAGACTTCCGGTGGGGCCGTCAGCTTTCCCACGGAGCCCTCGCCGTCCCCCGCACCCCAGGGCAGCTGGCCGGCACTGGAGCTGGACGAGATGTTTGAGAGGAGTCCCCCCGACAATTCCTTGAGCACCACCGGGATCATCTGCAAGAATGTCCACATGCTCCTCCGGAGGCAGGAGAGCGGTACCCCTGGGGATGCCCCGGCGGGCCTGGCTCTGGAGACGGGGGCCCACACGCTCAGGTGCAGCCACGTGACACTGCAGCCGGGTGCCAACCGCATCACCTTCCAGACGCAGGTGGGAGGATGGGGCTTGGCAGGGCCGGGGCAGCCTGGTCCCCGGAGCTGGGGGGGCCCGGGCTGGAAAGCCCCTTTGCTCACACAGTTTAAGGCAGCTGCGGGGTTTCAGGGGGTGCTGACGTGCATCGGTGCGCACTCACCGGGCTCAGTTAGGATCTTACCCCTGCATGGACGTGCAACCCCCAGAGGAGGAGGTCTCGGCCTCGTTATGTGGGCCATGGTCCTCTGTGGCTGCACAGCCTGGTGCTGGCCCCTGGGTGCTCCCTGTGGCAGGGGTCTAGCCTTGGACTCTCCGCTTGGAGAGTGACGGGGACGCAGGGTCAGCTCCGAGCCTCGGACCTGGAGACCCTCCCTGGAGAGGCTCAGGCTCCTTGACAGGCCGAGTGTCTTGGTCCCAGCACCGAGCCGGGCACGGAGGGTGGGGAGGCTGGCGGCGACTAGGCAGCAGGGCTCAGCAGCGGAGCGGCTGCCCCAGCGCTGGCCTCTGTCCTAGGCCCGTGAGCCAGGTACCTACACGCTGCGGCAGCTGAGCGCCTCGCTGGGCCCGCTGTGCTTCATCCTGCCGCACCTCTACCCGCCCGTGCAGTACGACGTGTACTCACAGGAGCCGCAGCTGACTGTGGAGCCGCTGGCCGGTGAGTGCTGCCCGCCAGGCCCCGCGACATGGGTCCGGAGCACCCTGGGTGCTGCCCTGTTCTCCCAGGGGCTGTTTTCCCAGCGCTGCTGGCGTGTGTGAAGCGTGGCCTGAGAGTTGGGGAAGGGGGTGGCCCAGTGATTGAGACCCCCTCTGGGCACCTGGGCGGCTGAACCCCTGGTGCTGCGCTCTGGTCAGGAGATCCTCCTTGGAAGTGTCGCTGCAGCCTGACCCTGTGCGGTTGGGGGCGTGGCGGCTGCCCTGTCCTGTCCTTGGGTCGGGCTAGTGTGGACAGGTGGCTGTGGGCGGCGCTGGGTTGGACCTAGCTGCGCCCCACATGCTCACCCGTGTGCTGCTTCCCTTTGGGGACAAAAGCAAGGGACGCGTCTGTCCTGCCAGATCTCCCCGCCCCTCAGCCTCCTCCGCCCTTGGGCTTGCCCTGCCAAGGCCGTCTTCAGGCACCACACCCAGCCAGCCTGTCCACGGCCTCTCGTCAGAGCCGCTCATGCCGAAGGGCCCAGCCCTGTTGCTGTGAAGGCCGGAAAGCGGGGGCCCCCCAGCCTCCCTTCACCTTGGTGCCCCCTGCCCCAGTGCCCTCAGCCCCTCCCTCACCTATTTGGCCCATCTTGATTCTTAGCCCTGCTCCGTTCTTCCTGCGCTCGCTGGGCTTGGAGACCTCGGCCTATCCCCTCGGGCAGGCCGCAGTCAGACCTCTCCTCGCACTGCCCTGGCCCCGAGCCCCTGGGCTGTCCTGAAAAGGCGAGGGTCGGGCAGCGCTTGAGCCTTCAGTGTCGCCGCAGCCTGCTCCTCAGCACCGGGGCCTGCTTTTCTCGCTTACTTGCGGCATGTCGATTCTTGCGACCCTCCCAGACAGTTGTCGCTGCCCCTGGCTCTCTAAGCCTCCCCGGGGGTGGTGCTCAGCAGGGGCCGCCTGGGATGGAGGCGAGCAGTGACGGGGGCAGGGAGTGAAGCAGCCCCCGTGAGGCAGTCCCTGTCCCGAACTGGAGCCCCTCCCTAGCAGCTCCTGGCCGGTGGCTGCTAACTGCCGTCTTTCCCTTGCAGAGAGCCTTTTGGCTGGTATTCCTCAGAAGGTCAAGTTCACCGTCACCACTGGCCATTACACGGTGAAAAATGGTGACAGCCTCCAGCTCAGCAACGCGGAAGCCATGCTCGTCCTGGGTCACGCCGAGAACAGAGCCGTGGTTTACTCTAACGCACGAGGTGAGGCGCGTCCGCCTCCCTGGGCTGTGTCCCCGGGGCGGGGCAGTGCCTGCTGGGCAGCTGTCCTGGGCAGACTGAGCCTGCTTGCCCTCCTGAGTGTGCCGTGGCCTCGGGCCCGGCCTGTCCCTCCCTCAGATGGCACCGGCCAGCGAGCTCCTCGGCACTCTCCCTCCCCCAGTCGCCAGCCAGGAGGTGTCAGATGGGGAGGCCCCTGCTGCCCTGCGGAGCTGTCTGTGGGGTGTCCATGAGGGCCCGCCCCTCTGCCTTCGCGGTGCCAGGTCTGGCGCCGCCCCTCCTGCTTGCTGCCCCATCTGGGCCTGTTCTCGCCGTCCTCCTCCTCCCGCCCGCCACCTGCCTCCGCGGGCAGCAGGCTTGGGCTGTCACGGCTGCCCCTGGAGGAAGGTGCGCGGGGACAGGGGGTGCGTCCCAGTGACCTTTCCTGTCTTTCCTAGAAAAGGCCTCCGAGGCGTTGCTCCGGGTCCAGGCGTCCGACAAGGTCACCAGCATCAGCCTGCCTGCCGCGCCGGCTTACCATGTGATCGAGTTTGAGCTGCAGGTCCTCTCTCTGCCTTCAGCTCCAGCTGTTGCCCTGGAGAGGGGCCTGGTGGGGGCGGCTGAGCTCCCCGGGCAGCACAAGGACACGCAGGGTGCTGCCCCCGGCATGGTGACCACGGACCACAAAGTAAGCAGCCACGCCAGCCCGCGTGGCCCAGGGGTCTCGGAGTCTGGGGTCCGGTCCCAGCCTGCGGCGCTGGCACTCGCTCATGGGGCTGGCGCTGTCTGCGCCTCAGTGCTCTTGGGTGAGATGGTCGGCGCTGACGCGCCACCCAGTGCGAGAAGACTGGGCCGCCTCTGGTGAGGGAGTGTGTGTTCCCCTAGGTGCTGGGTTTGGGCGCCTGGTCAGCAGTTTGGGAGGGAGATGGGGCTGAGGCCCGTCCCCCAGAGTCCGGCTTTGCGCTGGGCTCCTGCCTGCCTGAGAGCTCAGGCCCTGCCCCGGGTCTGCAGTCGGCGGGCTCGGGGTTGAAAAGCCACCCAGGGTTCCTCGTGCCTGACCCGGCGTGCGTCCTGGGGCTGTGGGCAGCCTTGTGGAGAAGGCGCCCCCAGTGGTGAGCCAAGGGGCCAGAAATACAATGGAGTCTCCTTTTGAGAGGGCATGTCAGCACCAGCCCAGAGCAATGGCCCTTGCTGCCCAGAGCTGGGCCATGTGGCCCTCGTGCAGGAGCGCAGCCCGTGCTGGGACCCTGCTCTGCCGCTCTGGCCACGCGCCTCCGGGCAGCCGTCTCAGTCCCTGCTCCTCCCCAGGTGTCCATTGACTGCCCCTGGTCCATCTACTCCACTGTCATCGCGCTGACTTTCAGCGTGCCCTTCAGAACCACGCACGCTCTGCTGTCGGCAGGGACTCGGTAAGGGCGCTCTCGTCGGCCCTCCTTTCCCTGAGGGCGCGTGGCCCGGGTGTCCTGCGCCCTGCCTGGGCGTCCCCAGCTGTCCCGGGGGTGGCCACGCGGCTGCCTATGGCAGGCAGGCCCCGAAGCAAGGCCTGCTCGGTGGCGACACCCCTTTGTGCCCCTCGCCCTTTTGGCAGCCGAGACCTGTTGGCAGCCTTGGCCGTCCTGGGCTGCAGGCACACCTTGACCGTCTTCCCGAGTCACCCAGACCCCGCTGCGTGTGGGCCTGGGGGCATCGTGACGGCCCCATCCCCCAGGTGTTCCCTGCGTCCCCTCTGCTCCAGAGGCTCAGCTGGGTCAGTTCAGCCCCGGACAGGCCGCTTGGCCGGGATCCTGCGTCAGGAGACGGTGCCCCCTCCACCCCCGAGCTCCGGCCTCACCCTGCAGTGGGAACAGCGGCAGGGCCACACTCGGGGACGCGTCGTCCCCGTTGCTGAGGCGGAGCACGTGAGGCCCCTGGAAGCCGGCGGCCTCGCTGCCCCGCGGACACTGCTGCCGCGTGGCGCTCTCCCGCCCTGACCTCATCGCCGACAGGCGCTGTCGGGGGCAGAGGTCTCTGAGCTGTTCCTTGGGGGCAGTGCCCACGGTCTGCTTGTCCGTTGCTCTCGCTCCTGCGGAGCCGGAACGGAAACGTGCGCGGCTCCTCCGCCTTGCGGCAGCCGGGAGCTGCAGTTCCCAGCATCAGGTTCGCGTGTGTGGCTTCTCTGCTTCAGGAAGTACGTCCAGGTGTGCGTCCAGAACTTGTCAGGCCTGGACTTCGAGCTGTTGGATGGCGACCTCGTGTGTGCCGGGCCCGGCCCCGACCTGCAGCTCGTGCTGCTGAACACACAGCCCCGGCAGGTGCGTTTCCGACTGAGCCCACGCGGGGCCTGGCCTGGCGAGGGGCGCAGGCGCTCGGGTGCAGGGTGGGTGTCTCACGGGCTGCCCCGGCCCAGGCAAGGGTGCTGCGGAGCTGTAGGGGGCAGGGTCGGGCTTGAGTCTTAGAAGCCCTGAGCCTTCAGCCTGCCCTGCTGGAGGGGGCCTCTGTGCGGGTGGGCCTTGCGCACTGCGTGGAGCTGGGGCTCCCGCCCGAGGGAGGGGATGGGGCCCTTCCCCCCAGCCCAGGAGGACGCCAGCGGCCCGTGCACGGATGGCCACGTGCAGACTGGCGTTTCCCTGCCCGGCCACGCCTGTCTTTAGGCAGGACGTGCTGACGTTCTGGAGACTGAGGTTTTCTTGACGGGTGGCTGGTGTGTAGCTCTCAGAGGCTGTTTCCCAGGTCCCAACTGACGGTGTCGGGTGTCCCCGGCCGGCTGTGCTGGGGTGTGGACGTGGGCGTGAGGCTGCGCGCTGGCCCCCGGTAACGGGTGTGGCTGCAGTTTCCCTTTCCGTTGTTGGATGCGGTTTCTCGTCTGGGAAATGATGGGACCCTAGAGCTCATGAACAGCCTGTGCTGTGACGTGGACAAGCCATAACAACTAAAACCCTTTTGGCCAAATCCATGCGTCTCCTTGGGGAGAGTGCCAGCAGGAGGAGCCCGCTGCGGTGGGGTGTGGTGCTGACGGCTGCCCCGCCTCTCCCCAGCCCGGCTGATGCGCACCTGCGGCCTGGAGGGGCTCCTTCTGCCCGGCCGCGGTGACGCCCCCTCTCTCTGCAGCGCGTCCACAGCGGGCAGTCCGTGTATTTCGTCTGGGAGCTGAGGTGGACGCGGGCACCACCCACCTCGCTGCAGTGCCGGTTCTCCGTGGGATTCTCGCCGGCCTCGGAGGAGCAGCTGGCCGTCTCCTTGCGGCCGTACACCTACGAGTTCCACGTGGAAAACTTCTTTGTATGTGCTGCGTCGGCTGTGCGGGCGTGGGCATGCTGGGAGGCGCCTGCTGGCCTGTGCCATATGCAGACCGGGCAGGAGAACTTGGTGGCGGGAGGTGGTGGAGGAGGGGCTGTGCCGGCCTGGTCCTCGGGGCAGGACGTGGTGGCTGTGCAGACCTGCCACCCCTTGCCTTCTGCGCCCTCTGCCAGGGGCAGGGCTTCCACAGCCTGCAGGTGGCACGCACAGAGCTGGCCAGGCCTCCGCGCATGGGGTATCGGGCGGGCAGAGCTGGAACTTGTGGCTGCGTGGCGTCTCCTTCGCTGCCCTTGGCTCTGGAGCGGTGCTCGGACTCCAGCTCTTGAGACCAGCGTGCTGGGGAGATAGGAAAGCCGAGCGAGGTGGAGGAAAGGCCTGGTGGCCGCCCACCCCACCCCCCGACTATACTCTGGGACCGGGCCTGTAGGTGCACCCTGGAAAGGCGGCATGTCATGGAGGCCACGTGCCCTGCGCTTCAGCCGCCCCAAGTGCGGGCGGTGATCAGGTGGTTTGTGGGCTGAGGGCTTGCTCTGGGTGCTCCCGCCCTCCAGGGAGGGCCTGGCCACGCCTCTCGCCCCGACACCCAGCTGTACACCAAGCCTCTGTGTTCTCTGACCGCGGTCCCCCCAGCGAGGGCTCTTGTCACTTGGCTCTTGTCACTTGCTTCCATGGTCTGGCCACCCAGGTCCCTGCCTGCTGGGCTGCCCCTTCGATGGCCGAGTGCCGTGCCCTCGCATGGATCTGCCCACGCGGGCCCCTGGCCGGTGCCGACACCTGGGCAGTGCTCACCCTGCAGCGCTGGGGCCTAGGTGGCTGCCGTCTGGGCATTGAGTATGGGAGCCGCGGTGTCGTGTGCTGGCTCGGGGCTGTTCTTTCAGAGATCACATCCCTCCAGCGACGTCACGGACCCGTGTCCCCCTCCCGTGCCTGTCCCGCTGTCTTCTGGCTCTGCTGTCCCTGGGGTGTGACGCGTCTCTTGTGCATTTCCTAATGGCCGGTGCTGCTGGGTGTTTTCTTTGCCTCTTCTGTGGAAAGACGACTCTTCCCAACCCTCCCTGTGCCTGGCAGGGCCGCTTGGCACCTGTTTCTGAGGCGCGGAGTCTTTTCTCGCAGTCCCCCCTCGCCCCATGTGCCATGCGGGCCCCTCCCACTGGGCCGTCCTGCTCTCCCAACCGTGTCTTCATGTGGGGCCACCGGCCCCGCTCTCCAGCCCCTGGCTAGGTGGAGGGAGGTGTCTGCCAAAGGCCCGTGCCAGATGGTGCTCCTGGGCAGACAGGCGAGGGCAGGGGAGGCCTGACCAAGCACTCCTGCCCCTTCTCCATGTCGGGGCGGCTCCAGGGCGGCCTCACCCCCACATCTCTTGAGCCGCTCATACTTGCCTCTTCTCTGCCTCTGTGCAGACGCTGTACGACGTGAAAGCTGCGATCTCGCCTCCCGCGGGCGCGGAGCACTGTCGCACAGGCTCGCTCTGCTCCCTGGAGGTGTCTATCACGCGGCTATCCGACCTCCTGGAGGTGGACAGGGACGAAGCGCTGACCGAGTCCGACGAGTATTTTTCGACTAAGCTGATGTATGAGGGTAGGTCCGGGGCTCGAGTCCTCGCCGTGCCCGAGTGGCCGTGAGCGCGGGCACCCTCGCCCTCCCAGACGGTGGGCCCGCGGCCGAGGAGGGCTTGCCGCAGTGACCGGCACTGCTGCGGGGGACCTGGGCGTGGGCTTCGGGCGGTGGAGCTCCTGGCCTGGGTCCTCTCCTGACCAGGGTGGCCCAGCGTGGAGAATGGGTCACGCTTCCAATGCCCGAGCCTGGCCCCTTCCACGCCGGCCCCTCCTCTGCGGCCCCCACATCCCTGTAGCCCTGCCCTGGCTGGGGCGCGAGGTGCTGGTGAGCTCGCTGTGCTCTCGGCCGCCGCCCGTCTGGTGCTCGCCTGTCAGCTCCGTCTGTGCGGTCTGGGGCTGGTCTGAGGGCAGAGCCGGGCTTCAGCTCCCTTCCTGCCCCCACCCTGAGGGCGTGCCTTCTTGGAGGCGTCGCCCTGGCTTCTCAGGCGGCCCCACCTAAGGGCCCAGGGTGGTGCCAGCGCGGGGCCTGCCATTGCACTGGAGACAGCTCTGATTGGCAGGAACCCTTTCCTGGGGCGGAAACAGTGGTCTCGTTGCAGTGGTGGACAACAGCAGCAACTGGGCGGTGTGCGGGAAGAGCTCTGGCGTCATCTCCATGCCGCTGGTCGCCCGGGCCGCGCACAGAGTGCACATGGAGGTGATGCCCCTTTTTGCGGGCCACCTCCCGCTGCCCGACGTCAGGCTGTTCAAGTACCTCCCCCACCACTCCGCGCACTCCTCACAGCTGGACGCCGGTGAGCCTCTCCCGGAAGCGCACGGCTGTGTGGGGTGAGGGGTGCCCATGTGGAGGGTTGGGGTGTACCTGCTGCCGCGAGGCTTGACCTTCGGCCAGACCTAGGCAGGCCACCAGGCGCGGCTCCTGCTCAAGAGGGGCTCTGAGGGCTCGGCCCAGAAGGCTCTTGGGGGCTGTCCCGCCCATCCCCGGCCCGCGGCGCGGCTCGGTGCGGCCTGTCCTCCCCAGGCTTGCCCGAGGGTCCGTTTCGCTGTGGCCGCGTCTCATAGGGGCATGTGTTGCAGATAGCTGGATCGAGAACGACAGCCTCTCCGTGGACAAGCACGTGGACGACCAGCTGGACAGCAGCAGCGTCAAGAGCAGGGGCAGCACGCACTCGGCCGCCAGCAGCGAGCACAAAGGCCTGCCCATGCCCCGGCTGCAGGCGCTGCCGCCCGGCCAGGTCTTCAACTCCAGCGCGGGCCTGCAGGTCCTGGTCGTCCCCAGCAAGGATGACCACGTCCTGGAGGTCAGCGTCACATGACCGAGCCTCAGGCGGCCAGCCCGCCAGCCCGGCGCGAGCCCCTGGAGGGGCCCGCGGACTGTCTCCCTCGCGACGTTCCAGCTGTGACCGGACTGTGGGTGCCGCCTGCCCAGAGAGGCACAGCCGAGTTCCGGCGCTGGTGTGTGTTGTCTGTGGTGTGGGGTGACCTGTTCTGTCCCCCTCCCCCGTCCCCACGCGGGTGTCCCGCCCCAGCAGCCTGCCGTTCGCCGGGCTTTGACGCACGTCCCTGTGTCTCAGACAGCGGGGCCTGCGTCTCCTCGGTGACATGGGGGTGCCAGGCGGGGCTGTGAGTCTTCTGAGGGCAGAGCGCGAGCCGGTGCCCGGCTCTGGGTCGTGCTTCTCTGGAATAACCCCTGTGAGGGCTCGGGGGAGGGTCTGAGGGCTAGGGTGGGGGCACCGACCCCTTCTGTGCCTTGGGATGTCAGGCGGGGCGGGGGGCACCGTTCGCTGGAATCGTTTGAAGGTACTTTACAGACAGACCAGGGCAGACCAGCGCCTCGGTCGGGGCTTTCGGGACGGTGCTGCCGGAGCCCCTCTCCCCGTGACGGTGGGCGAATACCATATGCACTTGAAATCAAATATATTTATTTTAGTTATCATTAGCGCCTGGGAGTTACTCTGTGGTGGTGGTTCCCTCTCACCTTTAAGTCTGCAGATGTGACTGTATGAGCAGTACTTTCTTTTGCACCTTAAGTCTTAGAAATCAAGAGGTTCCATTTGAAATGCAGATGCGAGGGGCCCCGCCTGTGCTCCTGGTCTGTCATAGAGGGGGTTCGGGCACCCTCCTGGCCGTGCGCCGCGGCCGCGCCTGCCCACACAGGGACTTGCTTTGGTTGTAAATTTAATTGTACATATGGTCGAGTTATTATTTTTACAAGTACAGACTAACGGATGTAATGTTTATGTATAAGTTGCACCAAAAAATCAAGGATCAAATAAATGTGTTTGTTTTTACTGGCGAGCGAGTCACGGCTTGTACATAAGTGTTGTGTGAACCAGCCCTGCCCGCGCTCCAGAGCCCCGCCTTTCTGTAGTGTGCAGTGATGCTCCCGGCCCGCCTGCTCCGGGGAGGCGCCGCTCGTGGACCCCCTCAAGGGCGTGTGGCCTGGGCCTTGCTAACCGCTGACGCCCGGCTGCTCCCAGGGGCCATGCCTATGCCGGGTCGCCCAGGTCCAGGCGAGCGGAGCCCAGAGCCGCTCCTCTTGCCCGTGAGTGGCCCTGAACTCGTCCGCCATGGTGGGGGGCCTGCTGTCCCAGGCCCTTTCATTCATAGAAGCTGGAGGCATGTAAAGAAGGTAAATACTTGTGTGTTCAATGAACCCTTCCAGAAAGTTTCCTTAGGTGCAGTTTAAAACAAATACACTTAGCCAACTAGTCAGGCAAACTAGAGCCAACGACTCCTTGAAAGACGGTCCAGGTTTCCTGTCAACACTGGCGATGGCCCTGCAGGTGTGCCTGGCCCGCAAGTACTCGGCCTCTGCGGCGGCAGCCATCGGGGCGCCTCTGGCCCGAGTGTGGCCTCCACCCAGGGGCCCCCTCTGGGGCTGGCCCCGTGGCCGCTTGCCAGGCGGGGCTGTGGTCAGTGCTCAGCTTATTTCTGTTTGGTTTGCACGTGTGTCTGGATGCCACCCCAGGATGAAACGCCCTCTTGGAAATTTAGAGGGTCTAGAAATGTAGCGGGGGCCCCAAATGTTCGTGGTTTCTTACTGTCTAGAAATTGAATGAAATCAGATTTATCTCTCCCTAATTACCCACAAGGTCTTCTGTGAATGGGTGCCTCTGCGGTCTTTGTTTTTTGACAAAAGAATGTCACCTAAAACTTTGTCATTTTTGATTAAAAGACTAATTGGATTTTTGTTGTGTTAAAACTACGTGTCTGGGGTGGAAATGCAGCGCCGGGAGAGCTGGACCAGGGAGGAGCGCGCCTCTCACAGCGCGGCCGTGGCGCAGATGTCCGGGCACTTGTCAATAGTAAGAAACGAAAAAGAAGATGAGGTATAATTTTAGTGAATTTCACGGGGTCGCCTGTGATTGGAAAAATTATAACTTCTGATTCTCATGTGGAATTGCGGTCCTGTACCTGAAACGCCTCCCCCTCCCGACCCGGGGTCTCACATCCTGGGCGGTCCTGTTGCGGGTTGGTCAGAGGAGACGCCCCTGGAGGAAACACAGGCTCCCGTTCAGTTTTTCTTTAGGGTTTCAAATTCAGTTGCAAAATGAAATCAAACACTCGGGCTGTGTATATAAAGTGAAAAGTTACTTTTTATAAAGGAACAAATAGGCTGACCTAAATGTTTTATCGTGAACTGTGATCTTTATATCCTCCATGATTTCAAATTTTCTTTTTTTGTAAAGATGTCCCTTTCTCTGAATTCATTCATCCTGTGTGGACTGAAAGACTCGGGGGCGGGGGCTGCTGGATTCTGGGCCTGGAAAGGGGGCAAGGTGGGGCTTGGGTGCTGCAGGTGTCACTTCCGTTTTCATGGTTTACTGTGAAAGTCATTTCTCACATCATTCTGTAACATACTGTTAGATTACAGCGTTGTATTAAGACTTTCAAATGTAAGTATAATCTAAAAATACACATTTTAAGAAGACACAGCTGTTTCGACTTCATTCTTTCGCTGTGGAGTGTGTGAGGTTAAGGAGTCTTCCTGACCCGTGTTTCTGAGTCGGCGTGGATTATTAATGTGGGAGGACGGGGCCTTACGGGTTTTTCCTAACCTGCTGCCCATTATCTCAGGAGCTTGAGGTGTTGAAGTGGTCAGGCATTGGTGGACATGCTCGTCCACTGCAGGCTGACCAGTCGCAGCCGGGTGATGTTGGGGAGCATATTTCTCACCCAGGGGTGGTTCAGTCTGCTTCCTGGCGCCCTTGAGTTATCCAGAACCTCCTAAGTAGCGTGGCACGGGACCTTCTCACCTTCGCGAACGAAGGGGTGGTTTGGGCAGCGGGACGCAGGCCCCGTGCCAGCTGCGGGGTCCCCAGTCCCTGTGTCAGCCGCAGGGGGAGGCTGGGTGTCCGCTGGGCTGGGGGCGTGGCCAGGCTGAGCCTCCGCCTCTGGGGCGGAGCCGGGGCGGAGCTTCCCCGCGGGGCGGGGCTGAGCCTCCCCGGGGCGGGGCCGGGCGGAGACTCCACCCTCGGGCGGGGCCGGGACGGACTCCCCCTCGGGGCGGGGCCGGGGCGGAGCCTCCCCCTCGGGAGCGGGGCGGAGCCTCCCTCGGGGCGGGGCTGGCGGCGTCCGAGCGCGGCTCCTCCGGGCCGCCGGGGGCGCTGTGGACGCGGCCCGGGACTCGGGCGTGCGCGGCCCGCCCGGAAGTGCGGCGGCGGCGGCGGCGGCGGCGGGCCCTGCGCGGGGACGCACGTGCGGCCGCGATGAAGTTCTCGTACCGGGTAGGCCGGGGGGCCGGGCTGGGGGCTGGGGGCCGGGGGGGGCGGGGGGCCCGGGCCGGGGGGCCGGGCGGCGGGGGCCGGGGGGGGCGGGGGGGCCCGGGCCGGGGGGCCGGGGGCCGGGGGGGTCGGGCCCGGGTCCGGCCCCGCCCACGCGCCGCTCCCCCGCAGTTCCGCAGCCTGCTGGGCGCCGTGTACCGCCGCGGGGACCTGAGCTTCACGCGCGACGGCGGCGCCGTGGTCAGCCCCGTGGGCAACCGCGTGTCCGTGTTCGACCTCAGGAAGTGAGTCGGCGCCGGCCGGGCCGGGCGGGCGGGGCGCGGGCTCGGGGCCCCGGGGCTCCTCCGGCCCGGCTCGCCCCCCTCCCCCCGCGGGTCTCCTCGGGGCCGGCTGGGGCTCCCCCCCCCCCGGGCCGGCCCGAGGCCCCCGCAGGCCCCCTCGGCGCCGAGGGCGCCCGCGCCGCCGCCTTCCCCGCAGGGCCGGCTCCGGGCCTGCCGCGGCCGCGGCCCCTCCCTCGGGCGCTCCTGCCCGCCTGAGCGCGGGCCCGGCCGCGGGGCTTCTCCAGGCGCCGCTGAGCCCGCGCGGCCGCCCTCGGGCCCCTCCTGGAGCCGAGCCTTCCCGCGGGAGCCTGGCCGCGCGTCCCCCGTCCTCCAGGGCGGGGCGGGGGGGGTGGTTGGGGGAGCGGCCGCGGGGCGGGGGGGGGGGTGGTTGGGGGAGCGGCCGCGGGGGGGGGGGTGGTTGGGGGAGCGGCCGCGGGGCGGGGGCAGGCCCGCCCGTCCACGGGAAACCCCCCATCGCTGCGGTTTTGCTCCTCAGCAACAGATCGGACACGCTGCCCCTGGCCACGCGGTACAACGTCAAGTGCGTGGGGCTGTCCCCGGACGGCCGCCTGGCCATCATCGTCGATGAAGGTCCTGCCCTGGGGGAGGGCGGCTCTGCGGGGCGGGGCCCAGTGCTGCGGGGGTCCTGGTGGCTCTGGGGTCGGGGCATCTGCCCTGGCACGCATGTCATCGCGGATGTGGGCTGTGCCCTCAGGCCTCCGCACGGGGGTCACTGTGCCTGCCTGTCTTCGCAGGAGGCGACGCGCTGCTGGTCAGCCTGGCGTGCAGGTCCGTGCTGCACCGCTTCCACTTCCAGGGCTCCGTGCACAGCATCGCCTTCTCCCCCGACGGCAGGTAGGAGCGGGCACCTCCGAGGGGGTCCGCAGGCCGGGGGTCCCTGGCCTGTGTCCCCAGTGGGGAGGGCAGAGACCTGGCCAGGCCCAGACCTGCTTCATTTCAAGGACGGCAGGAAAAGGCCTTGAGCCCAGCTTGCGCACGTCCAGGTGGCCGTCGCGAGCGCGGAGCCTCCCCGCCGCCCAGCCCGGTCCAGCCCACAGGGCAGTGGCCACAGGTGCCCCCGCGCTTCCTGTCTCTCTCACCCTGACCCTTGCCCCCTTGGCCTGGCAGAGGCCGTCACTCCCGACAGGCCCTGGTGTCCGTGTCTGGTTGCTTTCTCCCGATTTCACCCCATCTGTGGGTCTTGGTGCCGGGGTGAGAAGAGGGCCGGGTGGGTGCAGTGCAGGCTGGCCCCGGGGCGCCACTCCAGGAAGTGGCCCCGGTGCTCCCAGCGCCCGCAGGGCCGAGGCTGCTGCTGATGGCCCTGTCTCGCAGGAAGTTTGTGGTCACCAAGGGCAACCTGGCCCAGATGTACCACGCCCCCGGGAGGAAGCGGGAGTTCAACGCTTTTGTCCTGGACAAGACCTACTTTGGTCCGTACGACGAGACCACCTGCATCGACTGGACGGACGACTCCCGGTGAGCCGGGCGGCGAGGTTGGGTGCAGAGCCGGTGCCGGGCTGCCGCGTCCCCAGAGGCCCCTGGGAGTGGCCCGGCTGGGCCTCCGGGGGGCGGCCCCAAGCCTGAGGCTGAGCCGTGCCTCCGCCAGGTGCTTCGCGGTCGGGAGCAAGGACATGTCCACCTGGGTGTTTGGGGCCGAGCGCTGGGACAACCTCATCTATTACGCACTGGGGGGGCACAAGGACGCCATCGTGGGCTGCTTCTTCGAGTCTGGCAGCCTGGACGTATGTTCCTACCGCCCAGGGCCCCTACTTGGTCAGAGCAGCAGGTGTGGGCGGCCCCGGGGCCCCTCCCCAGGTGTCCTTGGGGGCTGTGTTGGCCAGGGCGGATTGTAGGGCCTGGCTGGGCGGCCCCGCCCACCCGCCGCCTCCCCCGCAGCTGTACACGGTCAGCCAGGACGGAGCCCTGTGTGTGTGGCAGTGTGACACGCCCTCCGAGGGCCTGCGGCTGAAGGCGCCCGCGGGCTGGAGAGCCGACCTGCAGCAGGGGGCGGGCGAGGAGCAGGAGGAGCCGGAAGAGGAGGAGGAGGAGGAGGAGGAGGGCAGCGGGTGCGGGAGCACCATCCGGGGCAAAGCCGCGCCGGCCCCAGAGGAGCAGCGAGGGAAAGTGAAGTACTCCCGGCTGGCCAAGTGGGTCCCATGTGGGGCGGGATGGGGCAGGGCGCCCTGGGCGTGGGGGGATCTGCTGAGCCTGGCCTTGGGGTGCGCGTGGGACGCGGAGGCCCGGCTATCGCAGCTGCAGGCCGTGGGGCGGGCGCAGGGGCGTGTGCGGGGCGGGCCTGCCTGGGCTCGGCCCCTCCACGCTGCCGTCTCCTCGTCAATCAGGTACTTCTTCAACAAAGAAGGGGACTTCAACAGCCTGACCGCCGCGGCCTACCACAAGAAGACCCACCTCTTGGTCACCGGTTTTGCTTCTGGAATCTTCCACCTTCACGAGCTCCCAGAGTTCAACCTCATCCACTCCCTGAGGTGCAGGTGGCTCGTGGGCGGTGCCGTGCCGGCGGGGTGGGGGGGTTCTGGGTGAGCTGTGGGCCGCTGGGACGAGGGGGATTGTGTCTGGAGCCGGCGTCCGCCACCCCTCACCACCCCTCACCCCGCACCCCCAACAGCATCTCTGACCAGAGCATCACTTCCGTCGCCATCAACAGCTCCGGGGACTGGGTCGCCTTCGGCTGCTCAGGTGTGTGCTGTGCCGGGCTGCAGGCAGCGAGGGCCCGGGGGCGGGCGGGCGGCGGGGGCGTGGAGCCAGCTCTGTGTGCCGCAGGCCTGGGCCAGCTGCTGGTGTGGGAGTGGCAGAGCGAGTCCTACGTGCTCAAGCAGCAGGGCCACTTCAACAGCATGGTGTCGCTGGCCTACTCCCCCGACGGGCAGTACATCGTGACCGGCGGGGACGACGGCAAGGTGGGCGGCGCCTCGGGTAGGTGGGGCTGGGCCCCGGGAACCAGCTGTGACTTTGGGGTTTTGCCTGAAAAGGCATGGAGGGCCAGGTGGCCGGGCCGTGGACCTCGGCCAGCACCCCCACCCCCAGGTGCGGCTCCCCGGGCCCCGCGTGGGTCTCCCTTCGTGGGGCGCACGAGGCCCCGTCGGCCCCACCACGTGCCCCTGCCCGCAGGTCAAGGTGTGGAGCACCCTCAGCGGCTTCTGCTTCGTCACCTTCACGGAGCACTCGAGCGGGGTCACCGGCGTGGCCTTCACCGCCACCGGCTACGTCATCGTCACCTCTTCCATGGACGGGACCGTGCGTGCCTTTGACCTGCACAGGTGATCTCCGCGTGGGGGCGGGAGCCCGCGGGGGCCGCCCGGGGGGCCCACGACGCCGACCCGCCGCCTCCCGCAGGTACCGGAACTTCCGCACCTTCACGTCCCCCCGCCCCACCCAGTTCTCCTGCGTGGCCGTGGACTCGAGTGGGGAGATCGTCTCTGCGGGGGCCCAGGACTCCTTTGAGGTCTTCGTGTGGTCCATGCAGACGGGCCGGCTCCTGGATGTGAGTCGCCTGCTGGGCGTGGGCCGGGCCGGCAGCTGCCAGGGGCCTGGGGAGCCAGCGGGGCGTGGGCAGTCCCGGGAATTTGGGGCGGGTGGGCCGGGCGCTGCCACAGTGCTCCCCTCTTCACCGCCCTAGGTCCTGTCTGGCCACGAGGGGCCCATCAGCGGTCTGTGCTTTAACCCGACGAGGTCAGTCCTGGCCAGCGCCTCCTGGGACAGGACGGTGCGTCTGTGGGACCTGGTGGACAGCTGGAGGACTACTGAGACGCTGGCCCTGACCTCAGACGGTGAGCTGCTCGCGGTCAGCGGCGGGAGCGGGGCCGAGGACCTGGCCTGCTCCCTCTTGGGTAGGGTATGAATGGAACAGGAGCCCCGCCCCCAACTCTCGGGGTTGGGGGCCAGTCGGGGTCACCTGGCCTGCGGCTCCTGCTGCTGTCTGCACCTCCTGGGTTCACCGTGGTCCCTGAGAACTGGCCAGTTCCCTGCTTGGGGGAGCCCCGGGGAGAAGCACCAGTGAGGGCCGGCGCAGGGGTGCCTTTCCCAGCCTCCTCAAGCCTCATGTCACCCTTGACGACAGAGGTCCCCCGGGAGGAGAGCCCGGCTGCCCTGTCCGGTGGCGGCAGGGCTGGTCAGACACAGTCCAGGCCGGGCTGCCCGCTGTCCGCTGGCCCCGGATGGTGTGGGTCTTGTGTCTGGCCACTCGTGCCAAGCCTGGGCAGCTGGCTTCCCACAGGCCTCCCGCCTCTGGCAAGGTTGGGTACCTCAACAGCCTGGGCCTCAACAACTGCCACCCTCAGGCTGGTGCCGCCCCGCTCCCCCCTAAGGTGGGCGGCCTGCTGCCCATTGGCCAGCGTGGGCTCCCAGCTGCTCATGCCGGCCTCGAGGCCCCTTGGAGAGAGCAGCCCACGGGTGCCTGTGGGCCACCCACCCGCCCCGTGGTGCACAGCTGGGCTCTTTCTGGGGGATGCCCTGCCAGGCTGTGCTGCGGGGCCCCTAACCCTGATGGTCTCATGGCAGCTCTGGCCGTGACCTTTCGCCCTGACGGCACGGAGTTGGCAGTGGCTACGCTGAACTCCCAGATCACCTTCTGGGACCCCGAGAACGCCGTGCAGACTGGCTCTATCGAGGGCAGGCACGATCTCAAGACCGGCAGGAAAGAGCTGGACAGGATCACCGCCAAGCACTCGGCCAAGGGCAAGTGCGTGCCTGGGCTGCGGTGGCCAGGGCTGCTCCCAGGGACTGTGATGCAGCCGTGGCTGAGGGATGTCCCCCATGGGCTGGATGTCTGGTTCTCTGGGGGTGAGTGGAGGGACACGCTGGTGACCGCATGTGACCTGCGTTTGGCTGGGGATGACCCGCCAGTGCTCCAGCCGCCCCAGCCCTCCCGGTGGGTGGGTGGCGGCCTGTGGTGGCGTGCTGCTGTCCCCCGCCAGGGAGGCCTCGGGCTGGCGTCTCGTCTGCCGTGGCGTCCTGGGGGCGTTGCGGGCTCCAGCCTGTTGTCTGCTCTGCTCCTGCTGCGCCTTTGGTGTCGTTTCCAAGGGTCTCTGCCCAGACCAAGGTCTCTGTGTGGTGCCCAGGGCACATCAAGGCTGGATGCCCCTTAGGACGGTGCCGGCAGGCACAGTGGCCGCCGCTCCTGTGACGTCAGCTCGGGGCCGCGCCTCGCCTGGTGCTGTCCTGGCGGGCGGGGGCTGGGCCTTGGGAATCCAACTCAGCCTGGCTTCTGGGTGGGCGGTGTGGGGCGTGTCTGTGTCCTGGAGGGGTGCGGTGCTGCGTGTAGAGGGCCCCGGGTGACAGGTGCGTCCCGCCTAGGGCCTTCACCACGCTCTGCTACTCGGCGGACGGCCAGAGCATCCTGGCGGGAGGAATGTCCAGGTTCGTCTGCATTTATCACGTCAAGGAGCAGATACTCATGAAGAAGTTTGAGGTCTCCTGCAATCTGTCCCTGGATGCCATGGAGGTGGGCGCCCTGTGCCACGCACCCCTCCCAGCGCCTGCTCCCCCTCCGTGTCCTCGGCATGTCCCTGGGGATGCTGGCCGGGAGTGGTGTGGGTGTCCCACGGGAGCATCCCCTGGGGGCGGGCTGCGGTGGGCCTGGCCGTTGCCCCTGGTGGCCAGTTGGGGCTCTGCCGTGGCAGGAGTTCCTGAACCGCAGGAAGATGACAGAGTTCGGCAGCCTGGCGCTCATCGACCAAGACGCCGGCGAGGAGCAGGGAGTCGCTGTCCCGTTGCCGGGTGTAAAGAAAGGTGGGCAGAGGCCCCGGTCCCGCAGGCCACCTGCTCTGGGCCCGTGCGGAGCCTGTTGCTGGCTACCCCGGGGGGAGGGGCATAGGCACCTTGTAGGAGCTGGGCAGAAGCCTTGGGCCTGGCCCTGGTTTCCCCCTGGGAAGCCCACATCACCAGCCTGGTCTGGTTCTGTCCAGCCCTTGGGCTGACCCAGCATTGGTCACCCCGAGACGCAGAGCTCCCAGCAGAGCCCCAGATGGTCTCCGGGAGGGGCCCGAGTGCTCGGGGCCCGGGGGTGCTGGTGGTGGTCTCCTCGTCTGCGCGTCCCCCTGCCACCTGTCTCTTGCTCATGGAATTCAAAACCATACTGGGCGGGGCCGGGCCTCCCTCCACAGAGCTCCCCGTCTGGTCGTGGCAGGGCAGAGGCCTTCCCCAGCTCTTTCTGCTGTCCCACTGCCCGTGGGGACGTGTGCCCAGGCTGGCAGGGACAGCAGGCCATGGGGGTGGGGGAGGCGGGCTGGGCCTGCAGCTGGGGGGCACTGGGGCCCCCATGATGAGTCGCCAGCCTGAGAGCATCTTTGTTCTCAGGCGACATGAGCTCCCGGCACTTCAAGCCTGAGATCAGGGTGACTTCGCTGAGCTTCTCCCCGACTGGTGAGCCCAACCAGAGGGCAGGGGTGTGGGGGCTGGGCTGGGGAGCTGGCGAGGACTGTCGGGCGCACCTGCCCGCCCAGGGTCCCACGTGGCCCTTTTGCCCTGGCCGGGCATGCTGGCACCGCTCCGGCCCCGCCAGGGTTCTCTCCTGCCGTCAGGAGCCTCAGTGCCGGCCCTGCCCACCCACAGGCAGCCCCAGAGGGGAGCTGTTGGCATCGCAGAGCTGGACGGGCCTCCGGGTGGGCGGTGGATGCCGCACACACTGAAGACATGGGGACGCCATGTGGTCAGGGGCACAACCGCGGCCTGAGGGGCGAGCGTGGGGCGGCCTGGCCTGGCGGGGAGCTCCCCGGCCCCGCCTTGTTGTCTTTGTTTCCGTGTCCTGTGGGGTCAAGGGGCTGCCCCGGAGATCATGGTGGCTAAGCTGAAAGGGCCGCCTTCTGGGGAGGGTTGGGGCCTGGCGTGGGCACAGGGATGGCGCACATGCTCGCAGGCCACTGACTGCTCCGTTTCCAGGGCGCTGCTGGGCGGCCACTACCACCGAGGGGCTGCTCATCTACTCCCTGGACACCCGGCTGCTCTTTGACCCATTCGAGTTGGACACCAGCATCACCCCTGCCAGGATCCGGGCGGCACTGCGCCAGCGGGACTTCACCCGGGCTCTCCTCATGGCCTTGCGGCTCAACGAGCAGGCGCTGCTGCGGGAGGCGCTGGAGGCCGTGCCCTGGGCCGAGAGTGCGTGGGATGGGGCCCTAGAGCGAGAGCGTCTGGGGGGTGGGGCCAGGGGTGAGAGTGCGTGGGGGGGGTTCCCCTGCCGAGTGTCTCCTGGAGCAAGCGGGGCGCCCCTTTTCTCGCAGTTGAGGTGGTCAGCGCCTCCCTCCCTGAGCTGTATGTGGAGAGAGTGCTGGAATTCTTGGCTTCCACCTTGGAAGTGTCTCGCCACCTGGAATTCTATCTCATCTGGACGCAGAAGCTGCTCCTGTCGCACGGACAGAAACTGAAGTCCAGGTGGGTGCCTGCACCCCCTCGCTGGTGTCCCCGGGTGGCTCTCCAAGCAGCCGGCCGGCGGGTCGGGCAGGCTGTGCTGCCACGAGCTCACGGTGTCTCCGCAGGGCGGGTGTGCTACTGCCGGCCGTGCAGTTCCTGCAGAAGAGCATCCAGCGGCACCTGGACGATCTCTCGAAACTGTAGGTCTTGGGGTTGGGGTGGTGGGGTGTGGGGGCCTGGCCCAGCCCTCGCTGGGGCTCGGGGGCCCCGGGCTTGCAGGGACCTGGAGTTCCTAGACAGCGAGGCCAGTGCAGCGCCGGCCTCTCCCCTCCAGGTGGTCAGGTCCCTACCTGCGGTGCTCCCTCCCCTGGGGCCGGGTGGAGCCCTGAAGGTCACAGCTTGGTCCCTCCTGGGGTTGCCCCTAGACCAGGTGTGTGGTGTAAGGGGGTAATGGTTCTGACCGGGGCTTGAAGGCCAGGGCTCCCGGCTCTGCTCCTGATGCCTGCCCTGGCATGGCGTGGTCCGCAGTTGTCCCCAGTCGTATTCACGTCGGGACGAGCCCTTCCTCGAGCGCAGAGCGCTAGCCCTGCCCTATGCGGGGAGAGCCGCTGAGGCCGGCACTGCTGTGCTGGCTGCACCTGGCCTTTTGAACATCGGTGTGGGGGCCCCGGCTACCTGGTCGGCCCCGGGCGCAGTCCTGGGGCCCTGCCTGTCCTGGTCCCACCAGTTCATTTTTCCGTGACTCTGGGCCCGTCCTCCCCGGGGGTTGCTGCATCAGCCGTGGCTGGGTGTCCACCAGCACCAAGGGCGTGTCTGTCTGGTCGGGCTGGCGTGGGCAGTGAGCACCGCTGGCTCGCATCGTCCGGCTGTCCCCAAGGGGCCATTGCTCCAGGGCTGTTGGGGGCAGGAGTGGGGTCTTGGGAGCGGGCCAGGGAGTGGGGCTCATGCTGTCCACGACAGGTTCCTGGGGTAACAAGGAGGTATTTGGGTGCTGGCTGGGCCTGGCGCCGGCGACCCTGCTGCTCCCTGACACGCGTGCACCCCCCACAGCTGCGACTGGAACCGCTACAGCCTGCAGTTCGCGCTGGCCCTGTCCCGGCAGCGGGGCCTGAAACGCCCCTCCGAGCCCCTGGACGGCGGGGACGGGGCCGTGTCTGGAGAGGACGACGGTGGCGAGGACAGCCTGAACCTGCTGGGCTAGAGCCGCGCGGCTGCCGCCCCCGATGGACGCGCCGGCCCCGGACACGGGGCCGGGGACTGTGGACTGGACGCCGGGCTGGCCGAGTCCCCCCGTCGGGAGCAGGGCGGGCCTGGAGCCCGGGCTGGAGGCCGAGCGGGCCGCGGACTGGAGCGCCCGGCGCGGGCCGGGACTGGGGGCGCCTGCGCGGCGCTGGCGGGGGCGGGGGCCGGGGCCGGGGCGCGAGGGGCGGGCCCGGCTGGAGTAAAGGCGCAGCTGTGGCCGAACTCGGCGGCTCTCGGTGACTCTCGGTGACTGCGGCCGCAGGGGGCGCGGGGCCGTCGGGCCTGGAGGGGGGAGGGGGCGGCCGCCCGGGCCGGGTCCCGGCGCCCAGGGGCTGGGGGGGCGGGCGCAGCCCCGGGGCGGCTCCGAGTCCGCGGGCCGAGGCGCGGTGCGGGGGATGCGGGGACCCTGCGCCCCGGCCCGGGCGCCCTGCACGCGCAGGCAGGCCGGGCCCGCGCTCCCCGCGGAGTCGCGGCGGGGCGGACGCCCGGGGCCGGGCCGGGCCGGGCCGGGCCGGGCCGGGCCCTCCCCGCGCGCCGCAGCACCAGGGGCCCGGGTGGGCCGGCGGCGGGAGTGCGCAGGCGCGGGGCACGACGGGCGGGAGTGCGCAGGCGCGGGGCACGACGGGCCGGCGGCGGGAGGGCGCAGGCGCGGGGCGGGCCCTCCAGCTCCCTGGGTCTGCGCAGGCGCGGGCGGGGCGCAGGCGCAGTGGCGGCCGCACAGCGGCGACCCGGGCTCGGCCGCGCGCGACCTTCCGACCCGCGGGCGCCCCGCAGCCATGGCGGCCGTGCGCGCGCTGCTGGCGCCCCGGCTGGCGGCGGCCTCCGCCTTCGCGCCGCGGCCCGGCGGCCGGGCGGCGCCCCCGCGCGCGGCTCTCCACGGCTCCGCGCCGCGCGCCGGGCCCCGCGTCGCGCTGGTGAGCGGGGCCCGGGGGCGGGGGGGGCGCGCTGGCCCCCCGGCCGCCCCTCGACTGCCTCTCCCCGCAGGTGCTGTCCGGGTGCGGCGTCTACGACGGCGCGGAGATCCACGAGGCCTCGGCGTGAGTCCCCGGAGGCCCCTCCCGCGGCCCGGGGCGCCCGCAGGCGCGGGGGGGGCGGGCGGGGGCCGCTGCCGGCCCCGACCTCTCCGGGCCTCGGCTCGGGGGGCTGTTGTCCCGCACGGCCGCCCTGGGCCGCCGCTGCGGGGGGCAGGTGGGCAGCGGCCAGCACTGCTCCGGGCCTCGGCCTCCCCGGCAGAAGCTGGGGGGTCAGCAGCCGAGCCCCCGCAGCCTGGGGCAGGGCGGAGCCCCCCAGCAGCTCGGGCACTGCGCCAGGACAGCCGGCTTGCAGAGGGCTGTGCGCACTAGCTGGCTCGTGGCCACGAGCTGGGGTTCCGGGTCACTGGGCTGCCGCTGGCAGCGGCTCCTTGTCCCCCGAGGAGCTCACCCCCGCCGCTCTGCTCCCCGCAGGGTGCTGGTCCACCTGAGCCGGGCCGGGGCCGACGTCCAGATCTTCGCTCCCAACGTCCCCCAGATGCACGTGGTCGACCACACCAAGGGCCAGCCTTCCGAGAAGGAGACCAGGTGCGGTCCTGCTCTCCCACCGGGGGTCCCTTTGTCCTGCCCGATGGCAGCCGCCGCCGCACCTGTGTCCTCCCCTCGGCAGCCGCTCGGGCAGCGGGTGACACCGGAGCCTCAGGTGCACCCTCCACCCCGTGGCCGTCAGTGGGGGCAGACTGCTGCGGAGCGACTGCCTCAGGCCTGTCTGCACCAAAGGCCATACGGTTCCTCGCATTCTCCCACCACTCACTTGGCCCTGAACGTGTCTGTGTGGCTCCCGGAAACACGTCTGTGGCGAGGCCCTTGCCCCTGGGGTTGGGGTGCACCCAGGCCCTCTTCTGCCATCGCCCACGGGTCCTGCCCAACCCTGTTGGACCTGTAGGCAACGGCCTTGGGGCTGTGGTTCGGGCTCTGCCGCTGGGTGCAGACCACGGAAGGTGGGAAGGTGGAACCGCAGCCGCTTCTAGGGCTTGGCTTCCGGAACCAGGGGTCACCCCTGCCCTGTGCTGCTGCTCGCCACCAGTCGTTGTCTGTCCTGGATCTGTGTGCAGACGCAGACGTGACTACTCCAGGGCCCAGGCGGACCCTGCGTGCTGCTGCCCCGGCTGACGGGGGAGCCTGGCCAATCAGGCCTGGGGGAGAGTTTGTGTCAGGAAGGTCCCCCGCGCCAGGCCTGTGGCCCCGTGGTCTTTCCGGGTAGCCACCTTAGAGGTGCGTGTGGGAACTTGGCTGCCTGCTTGGCGTGGGCTCTGCCCTCCCCATCTCGCACCCTCGCCTGAGCCTCTCGGGGCTTGTTCGCGTCTCTTCCAGGAATGTCCTGACTGAATCGGCTCGGATCGCCCGCGGCAAGATCACTGACCTGGCTGAGCTCAGCGCTGCCCGCCACGACGCCGCCATCTTCCCCGGGGGCTTCGGAGCCGCCAAAAACCTGTGCGTGTTAAACCCTGGGGCTTGGTTTTTGCACTCGGGAGGTGGGTGGGAGCGATCTAGTCATGTGACTGGCTCTTAAGGGCTTTGGGGCCCAGGGACGTAACTGGGGCGGGGTGGCCCAGAACTGCTGCAGGCCTGACTCAGGCTGTGTGAGTACCCTAGGCCTGGCCGCCGTGTGGCCGAGGCCGCCTGTGAGATGGCCACTGTGGGCGGTGGTCCTTGATCTCCGCAAAGATGTTTTCTCTCCTGCGGCCTGGTCTTGCCACAGGGCGGCTGCCCGTCCCCTGAGCCTTTCAGACGAGGGTTCTGGCTGGGGAGGCCGCCCAGTGCGGCCGTCCCGGGCTTTCATGTCCTTTTCTCGCGCCTTTTCTGCTCTTTTGCTTGTAGTTTTCGGGGACGTCCTCTGTGCGGCTTTGGTCCTGCCGCCCTCTGCGGTGGCTGGGGCTGTGCTGCTCCCACCTCACCGTGCCTTGGCAGTCTTTCATGCTGCCAGCCACGTCCTGTCTCTGACGTTCCCGCTGGGCTTTTGCTGCGACACGCTGTGTGGCTACCCCCCTCCCGCCGCCTGTGCAGCTGCCAGCCTGCACCCTCTCCCGTGGACGCGCAGACGTGGGCGTGCGGGTGGTGGTTCTGGTCAGCGGGTGAGCCCAGGACACACACTCAGGGGAGCTGTGGCCTTTGGTTTCTAACCATCTTCTCCCCGCCTTGGCAGGAGAAAGCGAGGTCCTCTCGGGCAGGGCTCTTCTCTGTGGGGCTGCCGCCCTCACGGGGGCGGGAGGCCACTGTAGGGACCAAGGGTCTCGAGCCTGGGTCCGGGCCTTTCGCACGTGTTGCCGATCTGGCATGTCCTCGCGGGAGGCCTGTGGCGGCGGCGCCTGCCTCCCGTCCTCGCCTGGGCCCTGGCGGTCGTTTGCAGGTGCTGAGGCGCACCCCGTGGGGACCTCGGGCCGCGGCGCCGTGGCAGACACGCAGGCGCCCCGGGAGGGCGGGGGCAGGGCCGTGCGCGCCGAGACAGGCGGGCCCGGCCTGGGGAGATGGCCCGCGCCTCAGCTCTGGCTTTGGGGGCCGCTCGGCCAGGCCGTGGCTGCCGCCATCTGCTCCACTCGCCTCGCCGGCCCTCCTGCGCCTGCACTGCTCGCCGTGACGCCCCAAGAGCCGCCGTCTCGTGAAAATCCCTCTGCGTGGAGACACGCTCCTCTCCCCTCCCCCCACCCCATCCTGCCGGGTGTCCTGAGACGAGCGCGGGCCCTCCTCCCCCAGGAGCACCTTCGCCGTGGACGGCAAGGACTGCAAGGTCAACGGGGACGTGGCGCGCGTGCTGAAGGAGTTCCACGGGGCCGGGAAGCCCATCGGGTAGGTGGGGGCCGGGGCGGGCCCCATTTGTGCTGGGCGTTTGCTTGGCCACCCCCGCACAGGAAGGGGGGGCTGGAGGCGGGGCGGGGGGAGGTGCCAGCGAGTCTCTGTGACCGCGCCCAGCATCGGGCCTTAGCGCTGCCTTCTCTGCCGTGACCTTGGTGCTGGACGGCGAGTCGGGCCAGGGCTGGCTGACACCCGGGGCTCGGGCTCAGGCACGCGGGCAGCTGGATTCCTGGCGCCCGCCCCCAGCTGGCTGGGCCGAGCCTTGCAGCCCAGGTGCGCGGCAGTGCCACTCCCCACCCGCCCGTTCTGGGGTCGTCACGTCCCTCTCGAGGCATGTGCTGGCCCAGCCTGAGTGGGTGCCCCCCCCCCGCCCAGCCTGTGCTGCATCGCGCCCGTCCTGGCGGCCAAGGTGCTCCGCGGCGTGGAGGTCACCGTGGGCCACGAGCAGGAGGAGGGCGGCAGGTGGCCGTACGCCGGGACCGCGGAGGCCATCAAGGCCCTGGGTGCCAAGCACTGCGTGAGGGACGTCAGCATATCCTTGTGGGGGGTGCGGGAGGGGCTGCTGGTCCTGCCTCCACGTCCGTCCAGGGGTCAGCCCTCGGGCCGGGAGTCCCCTGGAGCCGGCGTCGGGGCCGGGTGAGCCACGTGCCGGGGGCGGGCAGCCCCCGCTCTCCTTGGGCTGGTGCTGGTGGGTGGGGCATCCGAGACCCCTCGCGGAGCTGCTGGTGGCCGAGCCAGAGCCCGCATGGCTGGGCAGGGCTGTGGACGCAGGCCCTCCTGGAGGTGCCGCTGCCCTGATCGCCGCCGGGCCCCCGGCATGGTGGCAGGGCCAGGGGGGCCGCCGTCAGCCCGTCGGCTGGTCCTGCAGGAGGGCCCCGTTCCCAAGGGCATCTGGGAGAAGGGCGGGCCCCTGCCCCGCGGTGTTTTCCCTAACGGCTGTGCACGAGGCCCACGTGGACCAGAAGAACAAGGTGGTCACCACCCCGGCCTTCATGTGCGAGACGGCGCTGCACCACGTGCACGACGGGATTGGCGCCATGGTCAGGGAAGTGCTGAGGCTCATCCAGAAGTGACCACGTGGCCCAGCGGGTGCGAGGGCTGGCACCGGCCCTGGGGCGCCCCGGCTGGCTGCTGCCCCTTTCCTTGTGCGCCCCGAACACCAGAGGCGCCAGCCTGTCGGGTGGGGTCAGTCGGGAGACGGCCATCCTGGGTCCACGTCCCTGGAAGGAAAGATTAAAGTTCTTCGGTAGTCAGGAAGCCAAAATGCCACGTGTGGTGCGGCAGCCTCTCTCAGGGTCCTGCTGGCGGCACAGGCCAGGCGGGGGCCCCTGGCGGGAGGACGGGGCGCCACGCAGAGGGCAGCGGTGTGCCAGCGGCCCCCTGCCACGAGCTTGGAGAAGCTGCTGGGCCGGCCCTCTGGGCCTGCGTGGAGGTCCCTTGTGCAGCGGGGGGCAGCGGACAGCGGGCCTGATGCCCATGTTCGCCCAGCCCCCGTGGCTCCCTGGCACCAGGGCTGTGGCCATGACCTCACTGCCCTTCTTCCACTGGCTCTTGGCCGAGCGGCCCTTCCTCAGCTGAAACTGGGGCCCGGGCTCCCCGCAGCCCTCAGGGCGTCACCCCATCCCACGCGGCCTGGGCCCCCAGCTGTCGGGTGGGCGTCGGCCGGACACGCTGAGAAGCTGGTGTGTCACGAGGCCGTGAGAGCGCCAGAGCACGAGGTGACCTTGGCAGGTGGCCACGGTGGAGCGCCCTGGGGCCTGAGGACAGAGCTCTCTGGAAACAAGACCCTGGCCCTGGCTGCTCGGCGCAGCGAGTCCTTGGGTGCCCTGGCACGGGAGGCGGCGTGCAGACCGGCAGAGCCGGGGCCCGGGCAGCTGCTGCTGTCCAGCCTGGGCCGCCCCCCTCACAGGACTCCAGAGCGGCCAGTGTCCCCCTCCTCAGATCCCTGCGGCCTGTGTGTGGCCACATCCCAGGCCAGGCTGGCAGCGTGTGACCCGACACGAGAGGGCGGGTTCAGAAGTGGGCTTGCGGCGCAGGGGGAGGGGGGCTGGGCGGGGCCGGCCAGGGCAGGTGCGTTGTGGGCTTGGGGCAGACGGGGTCCCCCTGGAGGGGGAGCAGGCTGGGCGGGGACAGGCGCCTTCACGCTAGGGTAAGCAGGAGTCGGGCGTGTGTGTGAAGGGTGGTCCCGGAGGAGGAGGGCCAGTTCTTCCCAGCAGGAGCAGGAGAGACTCCAAGGACATGAGGGGAGTGTGGGCGTTGGGGGTGCCCGGAGGCCGCTTGGTGCGTTCGGGCCGGCGAGGAGCACCTCAGCTGCCTGTGGTCTGGTCGAGGCTGTCCCCGTGGGCGGGTGGCCTGCCTGAGCCCCACTGGCCAGCTGCACCCCAGGGCTGCAGTGCCTTGGACGCTGGGCGCCCCACGGCTCCACAGGCCGCCCGGCTTCCTTCTGCGGCCTCCTGTCGTTCCTGCGACCGTGGGTGGGAACCTGGCGCCACGTCAGCACCCCCGACCACGCCGTGCCCGAGGCTCGGGCTAAGCTGCTTTCGCTCGTCCCCCAAGTGCCATTTTCCTTCCACGGGCTTTAAAGACGCGTCACGATCCCTCCTGGGCCCGCGCTGCCGGGAGCGGGCTGCCTGCCCCGGCAGGTTCCCAGCCCAGCTGTGGCGCGCCGTCTTCAGCTCTGTCCCCGCACCCAGAGGCGGCTTTCTGTGGCCTCAGGCCCGTGCAGGTGTGTCCTGCGACCTGGGGTGGCCAGGGTTGGCCGGCCCTTGGCCCGGGCGTCCCTGCGACCCACACCACGACTGCACCGGGTGAGCACCTCCGGGGAGGTTGAGGCCAAGCCCACGCAGCAAGCCGCTGCACTCCCTTGCGGGGCTTGGTCTGGTCAGTTTGGGTCTTGGGCCACCTCTGAAGCGCTCCCCAAAGTGGATTATCTAGTTTATCCCTCGGCGGCTCTTCTCTCAAGTGCTTTAGTTAATTTTTTAAAAAATATTTTTGCACACAAGAGCTGGGGTGCGGGCCAGAGGTGCGGGGGTGAGAGGACTCCCCAGAGACAGAGTGGGGAGCAGAACTCAGCTTCTGGCTGAGTTCCCAAGAGTGAACACCCAACCGAACTGCCTCTCCCCGAAGTGGGACTCTCAAACCCACTTTTAAATCTGGGGTGCTCTGGGCAGCAACCAGCGAGGCCTCCACCTGGTGGGGCCCTGTCTCCCTGGCAGGCTGTGTCCCCCGCAGTCCCGTCACCTCCCCATGGGCAGGACAGCTGCCGGCCGCGCCCGCGCTGTGGGCCTCTTGGTGCAGCCAGGGGCTCTGGCCCAGAGCAGGTGCGCGGCGGCTGCAGGTGCAGACGCCTGATCTCCAGGTGGCCCCGGGCGGGAGCGCCCACTGCTGGCAGCCCTGGCACAGAGTGACCCCAGACAGGGCCGGGGGTCAGGCGCCCCCTCAGCCCGTTGAGCTGTGTCATGCCGGAGCAGGTCCCGCAGGTGTCGCACACTCGCCGCGGGGCTCCCCTGGGGCACCCCCATGTGCCAACCAGGCGCTCACCACCCAGGTGAGGACGGGACTCTGGGCTCCCGGGCCTCACCACTGCCGGGCCGGAACTCCGCCTTGCCCGGGGTTGTCACACCCATGGCCACCCTGCCCGCTCTGCGCCCGCCCCTGCGCCCGCACCCGGGCTGGTCCGCCCCTCGGCACGGAGGTGCACAGGCCCGCGTCGCTGCTCAGTCCAGCCGGGGCCAGCCCCGAAGTCCTCGCTCCGGAGGCCTGTGGAGCAAACGGGACTCGAGACTGGACCCCGTGTCCGCAGACGTCCAGGTCGTGCTTTGCAGAGAAACCTTCTCCCAGTTCTTGAGAACACAAGCCCCGGCTGCCGCGGGGGCCTGCGCTGCGCTCACCCCAGCCAGGGGGCGCCACTGTGGCCCCGCGTCCTGCCCAGGGTCTCGGGCTCCCGTGCTGCGCGGTGGCAGGCACCTTGCCGCCCACTGCCAGGTGGGGCCCCGTGCCCGCGGCCCAGAGAGGGCGTTCTGGGCGCCCGCCTCTGCGCTCCTGCCCCGCCGCGGCAGGCCCCTGCGTCTGGGGGCCGGCCCTCCGGGTTCGGGTGGCAGGAGCACGCGGTGCTGGGCCCTCCTCCCAGCTGCAGGCTCCTCTTGGGGGCGCCCTCTGCAGGGCCCAGGGATGGGGGTGGCGCCCACAGGACCACCCGTGGAGGGCTGGTGGCCTCCACGCCTCCTGGACAGCCTCGCCTGTGAAACGGAGCAGGAAGGATGAGGACGCGCTGCTAGAGCCCGGGGGGTGGGGGGTCACGCCGGGGTCTGGAGAGAAGGTGCAGCTTTGCACCGCCACCGCCCACGAGGGGGCGCCCCTGTGCAGGGGCAACCACCACTGGGCCCGAGCCGGGGTCACCCGGGAGGCTGTGGGGTGCAGGACGTCTCAGCGTGGTCAGGCCTGAGGGCCAACCGGGGACGGGGGGAGGCCACAGTGCCGGGCGACAGCCGAGTCGGAGCCCTGGAGCACGGCGTCCAGCCCGTCCCCCCGGGGGGCCCGCGGGCCCTGTCCGCCATCTCGGGCCCGGCCGCTCCCACCCCAGGGCCTGCGCTGGAGGCCGCTGCGGCACTGAGACCCCTCCCGCTGGGCCCCTCTGCATGGCCGTCCAGGGGCGGCTTCTCCCCCAGGCGCCCGTGCCCCCGCCGCTCCGGCCCCTTGCCCGGTCCCCTCAGCCTCCCCGGCACCGGGGGGACTGCAAGGTCCTGGCTCCAGACCTGGCCGCCCCCGGCCTCTGCTGCCTCTGCCGGCACCCCTGTCTGTTGACACCACCCTGCGCCCCCCCGCGTGTCCCCCACCTGCTGGCGCTGGAGGTGGGGCTCTTCCCACCTGGCCCAGGCTTATCCCCCTCGCTCTGCCCTCGTGGGCCTGCCCTGTCCCTGAGCGTGACCGCACAGCAGAGGCAGTCGAGGGGCTGCCTCTGTGGCTGGGTGGGCTGTGCGCCTGTGCCCGGGGCACCCGTCCTGGGGGCCCTGCGGCTCTCTGGCCCGGGGCCAGACTTCCCTGACTTGAGCTGGGGCTTTCCTGGGGAGGCTCCTGCCGCAGACGGTTCCCGGGGAAACCCCGTGTGAAAGTGGAGTCAGGAGGGCAGGGCCGTCAGGCTGGCCCTGAGCCAGACTCTCTTGCCACTTCGCCGGCCCCTCGCCCTGGCCTGTGCCAGTCTGGGGGCCGCTTCCTGGGCTTCCTAGCCCCCAGAGGGCGCCCACCCCTTCCCACCTGGCTCTCCACAGACCCCGGGGACCGGGAGGGACCCAGACAGGGTCCAGCTGAGGGTGGACGCAGGGGCTCCGGTGCAGGCTTGGGTGGTTGAGGGAGCAGAGGCCACAGGCCCACAGCGGACAGGGCTGGGGGTCAGCAGTTAGCGTTGGGCCGGGGTGGCCCCTTGCAAGGCCCGGGGGCTGAGCCTGGCCCAGCTCTAAGAGGGGAGGGCCAGGCATTCCCCTGGACATGGCTGCCGTCTCCCACCAGGGCCCTCTGCGCCCGTACCCCTCACCCCAAACGCCCCTTCCTAACCCCCCACGGGGCCTGTCCCCGGGCAGGGGCTGGCCACTTGGCCCATCTCGCTGAGCACCTGGGGCGCTCGTGTGCAGGCAGGGCCCGGAGGGGGTTCTGCGCAGGAGCATTGCAGAGCCCGGCCGAGGTCCCCCGCGGGGGCGCTGGCCAGCAGGCCGGGGCAGGCGGGTGCTGCTGGCAGAAATCCCCTTCCCTCCGGGGCTAAGCTCAGCCCGGGGCTCGCTGGGTGGGGCTCTCGGGACACGGCCGGGGCTTCCCGGGAAGCAGCCTGGGACTTGCCCGACTTGGACCCCACAGAGCGGCGGAGGAAGCCTGGTCTTGGGAGCCTTCCTGTGGGGGCGGGGCCGCGGCGCGGCGGGGCGGGGCCGGGCCGGGGAGGCTGGAAGGGGTTCCCGGGGGCTGCAGCAGCCTGAGTGCGCCCCCGCGCCCCCTCCCGGCAGTGCGGCAGCTCCCCCAGCTGCGCCCCTCAGTGCCCCCATGGACCCGCACCTTGGACAGGCGGTGACGGGCACCGCATGGGCACCCGGCTTAGCCGCCCCGGGGCTGCTGCCCCCTTTGGGTGTCCCCCCGGCGGAGAGGCCGGGGGTGCCCGGCGCTGGGGCAGGCGGGCAGAGGAGCAGACTCTGCGGGGAAAGGCAGCCCCGGCAGCGTTCTCAGGCGAGGCGGGCGCCCCGAGCATCCCTGCGTCCCCCGCCAGGCCTGGAGGGGGTGTCGTCCTTCCGGCCGCGGCCATCTGACC